GCACGGGTTAAGGCAATTGGGTATAATATATATATATCCCGGCAGGGAAACTATGATTTTATATCTATACACACACAAACATCATTGTGTAGTTGTTTATTCAAAGTTGCTAGGTAATTCCTCAGTATCGAAGGTCATGCTCATTTCGGTGTTGCTTTCCTAGCGATATTAAACTCCAAGTAAACATTGATATGACACTCATACTTGGGGTATAGTTACAGCGTACAGCTTGCATTACATTATCCGCTAAAGATGCTGAGTATGACCAATGGTCAATTGTCTGTATTGGATGTTGAGACTTAAATAAATACAACGTAAAGTTTTCGTTTAATGCTGCTTCCAACAAGCGTAGGTCGTCTCAATCCGTGGTTATAGGGCCTTTGTAACCAGTCAGTATCTTTCTCAACTCCCTTGGGAGCATACAGCCGGTACTGCCATTTCGGCGCTCACAGGTAGCATTCTACAATTCTTACACTGCCCAGCCACGTACTCATTTACAGCTGATTCGAACCCGCAACCCTTCGGTCACGAGCCCGGCTTCCTACCACTAGACTAGGTGTTTTATATTCAAAATCAAGTAATTCATATTTAAATTCTTGTGATACATGTTTTATATAGTTTTCCTCAATGGTTACTTGACAAATTAGCTTATACTTTGTATTTCCCAATTATAAAAGAAATTCTTGGAGTGAAAAAGGACAACAAGAGCATACCAAAGTGTCAACAAAACAATAATTCGAACTCCTAAGGATAAGACCAGGTGTTCCGGTAGGATGAGCGTCCTCTGCTTCAATGATGACACCCTCCATGTTAACCTTAGTCAAATCCAGGTAAATTCATAATACTCCGGTGGTGACAACAAAATCAAAGTGCAAACATTAGCATAATAAAAAACACCAACCTTCATATCACACAAAGAAATAACACTTCTCCGTGAAATCACGATGGTGATCACCCAAAAATGTCTTTGAAAGTAGCACAGAGCGTCTATATCGCCTTGAACGATCATCTGATGTTGTGCATGGTCTTCTCAGCGGAAGCGAGTTTTCGTTTTCATAAGCCGTGCCATGCCTTCATTCCTATATGATGGTTTGTGGATATGACAAAGTAAATATATCTCCAACCAATGGAAGATTGTTAACACAGCGATTACCTAGATTACCAATGATGCAAATGGTGTTTACTGTGATGTATGACGGTCGCATGCCTTTAGGTTTATATCAGTATCAGTATAATTGCACGCTTCCACGTATATACATGCAAATATGTTGTTTCTGGTGTAAGTTTCGTTGCTCTTCTTCGGATATTCTTATCATGATGTTTTAGTGTTTTTTTTAAATGGTTCCGCTTATGGTTTAAACATTTTGATTCCTTAGGATGAACAAATATTCTACTAATGGGCCCTGCGAATTTGGTGTTTGGGTGTTTAAATGTCGGTTATATGCCAAATACCAGAAACGTATTACCACTTGGTAGATAAATACTACGAAAATTCAGTAAAATATTAATACAGCACTCACAAGTTTACATCAATTGGACGTCTCGTGAGGCAACAAAATAGGGCAAAATAGATAATTAACTAACGTACATTTGCCCCTTGGACTACAAGTAAGATCATATTCATCCTGAAGTTCTACAGAGAAAAGTAAGCTAAGCCCATTATTATGGATTGTCATATGGTGAAATGAGTATAAAGGACGGACTGATGAAAAACACAAAATACAAGGTCTCCTTACATACATAGGAGAAACATAACTCTGGTGGTAGGAAGCCAGGCTCGTGACCGAAGGGTTGCGGGTTCGAGTAACGTCACGACACTGTGTTGTATCTTTAAACAAGATACTTTACTCCGCTTTTTCCAGTCTACTCAGCTGTAAACGAGTACGTGGTTGACAGTGCTAGAATTGTTGAATGCTAGCTTTGAGCGCCGAAATGGCAGCACCAGCTGTATGCTCCCAAGGGAGTTAAGAACGATATTGGCTGGTTGCAAAGGCCCTATAGTCACGGACAATAATTTGTGAACCGCTTTGAGACGACCTACGAACTAGGTTGTGATAGAACCTCGAATTATTATCATTACTTCTCAAGTTTCGATTTAAATTATTTCAAATAATTATTGCCTTATATGTCAAATTCATCTATACATGAAATAAAAAGAGGATTTTGATGTTGCAGTGTTCAACAGACCTTTAATCTCGATATGATCATAAAGGCAAACTGCTTATTCATGGTACTAGTACCTTGATCGCATTGTAGAGATATATACATGAATGATAAATGCACAAAGATGATTAATTGATTGTATTCATGTTAAATTTATTAGATACTTATAGATTATCACACTGTATTTTCAGCGTTTGTCGTTCGAACAGTTTTCTCATCGCTCGCACGTAGATAAAATCTGTAGTCCACCGCATAGTATGATAAACTATTTATCATCTTTATACCAATACCTTATATTTTTCCCCAATTAAAAACCTCAATTATTAACCATGTTTTCCAAATGACCTCTAAGCTCAATGATCAACGATCGCCTGTGACAAACGTAAACAAATAGAAGTTTGAACTTTAAAACTACGTAGAATAGATATTTTTAAAACAACCCTATCATCATTCGCTTTTCCATATGCACATTTACAACTGAAATAGTATTGTTATTCTCACAATATTTTCCCCAACTTTGTATTGATATGTTTATGACGGACTATTTTCTTACGCGGATCACTTTTGTGTGGAAACTATTTCCGGTTTCGGACGTCATCTGTCGCGAGCAGACGTCCTTTTTTTGAGAAAAAACGTTCCCAAGTGCTGGACAATGGGAAAATCCATTCTCAAATTCTTCTCAAGTTGTTCCTAAGTCGTTCTCAACTTTTTCTCATACTGACAACAAATGATAATGAACTTATCATGCTACAGGTAGGTGGTATAAAGTAGTATATAGATGATAATGACAGGTCGTGTATCAGAGGGAGAAACGAATAGGATAATGGTCAGAGCTGCTGATATTTCTCAGCTAGGCTATTCGGTGTGGGAGCTCGGGAGCTCGAGGTATGAACAGAGCACGATCTTCATACAGTTGAAGTTGTGTTTCTTTTTTTCATATAAAATTATCAACACAATTGAACATATATCTATCCTATTAAATGTTGATCCGAATGTTTAATGTACCTATCGTGATTGTACAATGAAAAAGTCGATAAAATACCTGCGTAAATCAGCCACTGTTAAAAATAAAATGAAAAAAAATGTTTACGTCTGTAAGAAAACTTTGTTATTTTCAGGTAACGCAAGAGGAAATGTTACAGTCGCCGCCTACATAGAGGACAAGTCAAGGGCAAACTACGTTTTCAGTAACCCGTTGTTCGACCACAGTTCCCTCACTCTAATATCATGTACAGCGAAATGCCTCGTTGAGAAAATGTGTTATGGTGTGGTCTTCAACGAAGAGCAAAGACATTGCCAAGGATATGCCAGATTTTCAGGTCCTGTGATTTCCACAGGTGCAAAAGTTTGGACGAAAAGTAAGTTTACATGTCTCTGGCGAACCAGCAGTGTTGGAATATCGAATTCGATAGGTTTATGTGTGTTGAAATCCCTGCTGTACCACATTGTATGATCGTACGACGAGATCAGCGTAGGACCCTCTACAGAAGTGTTGTGATTCTTCTGTTCAATCTTCTAGATACAATAGGAGATGAATATTAATCTATCCGCATGTCCCAATAGCAATATTTTGGGCTGGTCTCACACTCATTTATTTTCTTCTCTTTCTTAGGAACTTATGTTAACCCATTACCAAAATGTCATATTTCTTTTGAAATAAAAGTTTGACCTGTTGTCGTGAACGTTTTAAAAGGGAGTTTAGTCCCTTGTTCCCTTATGAAATGCTGAGATGCCAGCAAAGATTTGTTCATTTGAATATTGGCATGTGTCCAATAACTTATGATGATAAATTATTACTTCTTAGACGGTTCATCAGTTTCAACACAAACTTAGATAGAATCGTATTCGTTGGTTACAAAGTACGATAAGAAATTGCTCGAATACATCCCCCTCTCTTGGAACGTATTGCCACTACTTATGTTTCTAAATGAAACTGCCTCGTGTCCAAATCATCACGTGACGTTATCCGCGCTATATTAATGGAGATTTCCCGTACAAATCCAGTTGTCAAACTGGACATCTGGAATTAACTATGAATTTGGGGATAGCAGGAAAACATAATATTATATGGAAGCACATCTTACAGGTATATGTATAATTATTGTAGGAATAATACATCCTTCGTGAAACATTATAAATATGCTACGTTGCCATTTCTTGTTGATATATACTTGAGTGATGAGCTTAGTAATGACCTAGGATCACTGAATTGAACACAACGCCGTCGCATTTAGATGTATGCAGGGATGTTGTTCAATTCCTGAACAAATGCCTCAGCCAAGTTAAAGAGCTGATTCAAGAGTGTTTATCAGGTCATTTTATCGAGTTTAGCATTTTCCCGAAAACAACATGGCTGACAATATTGTGTTTGGGCTTTGCGAGGAAAATGGCGTCAATTGAAATGAAGGTAGCAGCACTTTCCCCAAGGTAGCAGCACTTCGGGGTGAAAGTAGTTGACTGCATCGACCGGGACTTCAGACAAGATATATGTCTCTCAATTAAACCAACAGCTGTATTAAAGCGAACATAGGTTTCATCTTTGTATTCTAAACATTCGTTAGGTGTAGTACGGATTTCGAGATCCTAACAATGACGCCACCAATGTGCATTTTCAGCTAATTTTTTCCTGATGGGTGATTATTTATAACCGCCAAGACATCCTATTAATACTTAACTTACTCCTTTATACTACATTTTCTATTATAATTATCATTATCCACATGAACGTTGGAATTAATCCTTGCTATTATGTAAACATTTTACAACGATTATGAAACAAGTTATTTCGGCTTAATAACTCTTGTTGGCCCGGACGTTAGTGCGTGAGGGGTCTTAAAATGGGAGGCACCGGAGTACCCGGAGAAAACCCACGGAAAGATGACCCCACATCGTTTTACGTCCAATCGAGGAATCGACCCCCGGTCGCCTTAGCGAAGGCGAGTGCGCTATCCACTGTGCCACACAACCACCCATTTTAATTAGAAATGCAATAAATGCAATGTTACAAAATGTCACCACACATATTTTACTAGGGAAAAACGTATGCATCATTGCTCTAACATCTGACTATTGTACCTCACCGACGCACAAACAATGTTATTGTACCGCTGTGTATTTTCAGGAATACGTTGTCATGCAAGCTACATCTACGACCCCATCTCGGACTTGTGTTTTCAGCTGTGCGGCGCTTACAACTGGCCAGACGCCGTTGCATTCTGTGCAGAAGATGATTCTCGGCTGGTGGTGTTTGACACACTTGAAAAGCTACAGTTTTACAAAAACTATGTGATTGGTAAGGACATTGTTTACAAGTGAAACAGAGTTTAAACCCTCAGGAACAAACGCATCGATCGATAAATAACAACAAATATGTCATACAAAATGGCGATATGGTATAAACACTCTAAAAACGCTAGTATTTATGCTGTCTAATGAATACGAAAGAGTATAAGGGCGTCTTAGCTAACAAATACAATTTGTTTTTGTGCCACTAACTCGAAATTTCGATTTGCTAACTCGAAACTTCGGTGCTTTCAGTGGAATAATGTTGACAATCACGATTTATAGTAAACCCTCCCTTGTTTGACTTCACTATCTGGGTCTTTTCACATACTTGGTTCTATGGAGAGGTATCAATTTCAACAGGAGTGTTCAGATTTATTATTTCTTAATGTGCATGTTGATGAATTAATATAAATAATCAATCTTCAATCCAAAAAAACCCTGTCTGCTTTTTTTCATTTTGTTTATTTTATTCTTTACATTTTAAAGACAAGTGTACATGTATAACCGAATGATCTACATTTTATTGTCCTGATTTGTTTTAATTTACACAAATCTGAGCCCATATTTAGAAGACATCTTAATTGCTAAAATATTACTACATTGTAAAAAAAAATCTTTAGACAAATGTTGTTTTCATGTGGAAAAAGAGCATTATAAACAAAGGTCATTAAACTTCTTATCAAACTGCCTATAATGGGTTTTTTTAATAACGTTTTCGCTCTTTTTCAGTAACAAACGATGGGAAAGGTCGAACAATAGGTGGTCGCCGTGTAAACGGAGTGTGGAAGTGGGTAGATGGAAGCCTCATGAGTATGTCGAAGAAGTTCTGGAGAAAAGGGGAGCCGACTGGATCGGGGGTTTATATCTTAGCTTCAATACATCCCGGTATGGATGGTATATTTAATGATGTTCATCACGCTAATCGCCCAATCGTATGTGAGAAACCATAGTCATAATTTTCTAAGAGTCGTCAGGTTAGGATCAATATCATCAGGGACGGCCATATGATCAAGCTAAGATAATGAAAACCAATTATCATTGTAACAGGGCTATTACAGAAAATCCCAACACTTGTGTCAGGTTTCATCTGCAAAGTTGTTTTTGAAAACCGCTAGGACAATTTCACGGGCAAAAAAAAGCTCTGTGTTTGGGACTGAATGATATGTTTCGTAGATTTTAAATACAATGTAGCTTCAATTGATGCACCGTATCTTTTCATTGTACAATCTTAATAAATGTCTAAGAGCTGATTAGTACGCCCCCATCTGTTTAGAAAGGGATGAAAATATGGTTGCATGCATCGTTATTTGTGGCCATTCCTAAAGATCATAAAGACAATTTTGTGATTGATAATACATTTGTATATGAAACTGGTAACATGGAATTGTTTTGACGACTATTATGACAAAACAATTTAACACTCAATTATGGAGCAATGTGATACTGTATTTCCTAAAATTACAATATCATTAACATGTTTATATTTTCTCCTTCGTTATGACTAAAGTACAAAATTGTTGTACATAATTCAGTTAACACAGACAGGTATCGGTAAATTATGTATACATAAACTATTCACTGTTATACGTGTCCTTTACCTAGGGACATATACGTGACCAAGTAAACTTGTTGTATCAATTGAAACATTTGGGCTCTTTATATTTCTTTCTAAGGATCATTTTGTTTTCTGGTGCCTTCCATGGGAATGTGTAGTTTTTGCCTGAGTGTTGAAGGTTCGTTCAAGTAAGAAAGATAAAGGGTTCTGTCCCCAGGCTGGTGCATACCAAGGTCCTTAAAATGGTATTTGTTATTCCCTACTTCATGTTCAGCTTTTAGATGAATCGCAACAACTGGTTAACCCGTTGTCAGAATAATTACGGGATGGAATACAATTCTGGGTACTTCGACATAATCTTTCAGTGAGATAGCACTAAAAAGTCGGCATTAGATCTGAGCTTTCGCAAAGAGGAAAATACACCAAAACACTGCCTCCAGGCACGCATACACAACACACATGTAGACGTGTACCTTAGTTTATGATAATACACTAAACCATACAAAACAAGCAAGCCTAAGCTTTTGTTTTTAGTGTTTTCTAGTCCATTTACATTACAACATATTAATGAAAAACAAGCATTTTTGTATTGAAAATATTGTTACGACAATTTGTTTATGAGGAATATAATTTTGCAACTCACTGCCAATTCCCCACAATATTAGTAAACTCTCATACATTGCAACGTTGCATTTATTCTTAACAAACGACATGAAATCATTTCAGATTCCTTTTATATTATTAATGATCCGTTGATTTATTTGTCAACACAATTATTGAAAGTATTTTCAAATTTGTGTTTTTTATTTTTGTTTTTGTTTTTTTTGTTTTTTTGTTAATTATTTTTTACATATACATGTATATATATGTATGTTGGATTTGGATTTATATGCTTTTTTATATCATATCATGTCACTAACTGGCCATGATTATGATAGTTTGATAAAGTGATGTGTTACCGTGAAAGAGCAGGACGTGCCAGGGACGAGGCGCGAAAGTGTGTTATGGACTTATATTTGATAAGTGTGATGGCTAGTATGTGAACTGCAACGTTTTTGATAATGGCGGTGCTTTGTGACATACTAATTTTGTCAATAGTTGAGTTAGTGGTGATTTATGCTATGTAACTTGTATATACATTTTAATCTTTATAGAGTGTCCATTTACAGCATTGCTGAAATTTTCATCTACTATTGCATAGTTATATTTTACAGAATCGTGTTCCACATACTCATTGCAATATAGCAATATGATATTACCATCTGATGATCATATGTATATTGATATGTTATTCATTCCTGGTATCCACTGCATACCAATCCATTACCCACTCCACTATTCCTGTAATTCCTCTGTTGTACATATTACTTCATTCATGTAACTAGTGTTGAAAAGTTAATTATTCAGCAGGTAAAAAATTACGTAAATGTTACGACACTTGTTTTTTGCCTTTTATGTTCTATAAAACATGTACTTGATGTATTGTCAAACAAAATTTGAATAAAACAAAGTTTAAACCAAGTCCATGGTCTACTACTGTTAATGTGGCGTCAATGCAATGTTGACGTGACGTCATACTATTGTTATGAGTTAGATCGCGCAATTCTGCACGTGGCTATCTCCCCCTAGGGGTGAAAAGCTGATAATCTCCAGCTTAAACGATAGATACGTCTGTGAAACGTGGGAGTAATGTGTATCAATAAAATATACTTATTCAACCTTGGGAGTTGCTTCTATGTGTTATAAACGTTGTAAACGAGCAAAAATAAGGTTACAGCAAGTCATGGAAAAAGACAAGAAAATATTAATCTAAGCCGTTAACACGAACAATGGTGACAACATTGAGCGTATTAAGATTGAAAAAAACGAAGCTTGGACTTTTCATCTTCATTTGCCTTTGTAAGAAAATGTAATACTAAATGATTCAGGCGCGTGAAGAAAAAGTACAAAATTATGTAGCATCAATGCTCTAATAATAGATATGCAGCGACAAATATAAGATTCAAAACTGTACTGTAACGTAAAAAGAATATTTTTTAATTATGATAAGGAGAAAAACATTTTAGTTCTATGAAACTACTTCAAAACATGTCATACAAAACTAATTTATGTACACCTTTTTGGTAATGTGACGTTATAAATCTGATCAGGTTAAACAATTCATAAGGAAATATGTTGAGGCTCCAAATAGTTTGAAACCATACAAAACAAGCAAGCCTAAGCTTTTGTTTTTAGTGTTTTCTAGTCCATTTACATTACAACATATTAATGAAAAACAAGCATTTTTGTATTGAAAATATTGTTACGACAATTTGTTTATGAGGAATATAATTTTGCAACTCACTGCCAATTCCCCACAATATTAGTAAACTCTCATACATTGCAACGTTGCATTTATTCTTAACAAACGACATGAAATCATTTCAGATTCCTTTTATATTATTAATGATCCGTTGATTTATTTGTCAACACAATTATTGAAAGTATTTTCAAATTTGTGTTTTTTATTTTTGTTTTTGTTTTTTTGTTTTTTTGTTAATTATTTTTTACATATACATGTATATATATGTATGTTGGAATTGGATTTATATGCTTTTTTATATCATATCATGTCACTAACTGGCCATGATTATGATAGTTTGATAAAGTGATGTGTTACCGTGAAAGAGCAGGACGTGCCAGGGACGAGGCGGGAAAGTGTGTTATGGACTTATATTTGATAAGTGTGATGGCTAGTATGTGAACTGCAACGTTTTTAATAATGGCGGTGCTTTGTGACATACTAATTTTGTCAATAGTTGAGTTAGTGGTGATTTATGCTATGTAACTTGTATATACATTTTAATCTTTATCGAGTGTCCATTTACAGCATTGCTGAAATTTTCATCTACTATTGCATAGTTATATTTTACAGAATCGTGTTCCACATACTCATTGCAATATAGCAATATGATATTACCATCTGATGATCATATGTATGTTGATATGTTATTCATTCCTGGTTTCCACTGCATACCAATCCATTACCCACTCCACTATTCCTGTAATTCCTCTGTTGTACATATTACTTCATTCATGTAACTAGTGTTGAAAAGTTAATTATTCAGCAGGTAAAAAAATTACGTAAATGTTACGACACTTGTTTTTTGCCTTTTATGTTCTATAAAACATGTACTTGATGTATTGTCAAACAAAATTTGAATAAAACAAAGTTTAAACCAAGTCCATGGTCTACTACTGTTAATGTGGCGTCAATGCAATGTTGACGTGACGTCATACTATTGTTATGAGTTAGATCGCGCAATTCTGCACGTGGCTATCTCCCCCTAGGGGTGAAAAGCTGATAATCTCCAGCTTAAACGATAGATACGTCTGTGAAACGTGGGAGTAATGTGTATCAATAAAATATACTTATTCAACCTTGGGAGTTGCTTCTATGTGTTATAAACGTTGTAAACGAGCAAAAATAAGGTTACAGCAAGACATGGAAAAAGACAAGAAAATATTAATCTAAGCCGTTAACACGAACAATGGTGACAACATTGAGCGTATTAAGATTGAAAAAAACGAAGCTTGGACTTTTCATCTTCATTTGCCTTTGTAAGAAAATGTAATACTAAATGATTCAGGCGCGTGAAGAAAAAGTACAAAATTATGTAGCATCAATGCTCTAATAATAGATATGCAGCGACAAATATAAGATTCAAAACTGTACTGTAACGTAAAAAGAATATTTTTTAATTATGATAAGGAGAAAAACATTTTAGTTCTATGAAACTACTTCAAAACATGTCATACAAAACTAATTTATGTACACCTTTTTGGTAATGTGACGTTATAAATCTGATCAGGTTAAACAATTCATAAAGAAATATGTTGAGGCTCCAAATAGTTTGAAAAGAAGACAAGGTTAACATAATGGTGGTATTGTACATATATGCTCCTAAAAGGCCATGTACAAGGGCAGAAGGCGGGAACAAATCATTGATGTTCTCCATTTCATCGATCCATTGCTATTTTTGGGCATTTAACCTATTCTGAAAAGCTCTTCGATAAATTCAGCGTCGTAAAAAAACTCGACCTATCTACTGTTAGTCCCCAAGTTATGCGTTCTAACAGAGATGGTAATTGCGTGATCCGAGTATTCGCAGTAGGGATTTCTTTCTGTAGTCAAAATAATCGGATACAGCTGCCATTTCTATTAAAGATATTTATGGTATATCGCCAATCTATTCCTTTGGATGCAGCCTGTGCCACTCCCATTTAATTTCTTTGCGACCTTTTCTGTTTAGGCTATTATATATCTGGTTTCTGCGAGAACACGGCGACTTCTATATGACCTTTGACCAAACTTTTTAAATATAGGTTCTCGGAGCATATCTTATTCAAATATTCATGAATGGATATCATATTTGGCAATCATGTACAACGTGGTCATCCGATTTGTCGTACAACAAAGTGTGCTCGATGCGTCAACTCCCATCATCTACGGGAAACTACCTGCCATTGTTTTTGAAAGTCAACACAATGTCACATTGCAGAAATGTCATACGTGTCTCATAGTAACCTTATATTTCATTTGTGTGCAAAAGTAGGTAGGTTAATATCTTTGAATACATTAATTCATGGAGTTTTTCTTTATTACAGATAAGACTAAATACAATTTAAGATAACGTCATGACTTTAATTTTTCTACATTTAGGTAATTATAGATAGAAATTTCAATCGCGAACCAAATAAAGAATCATGACAGCCTTATTCATATTGATATAAATCAAGGAAAATCACTATTGGATTTCGATGAATAATGGTGTTCTGTCGGGTATGCTTGTAAGGGGAGGTTTTCTACCTCCGTCGTCATTCCTTGGACGTCACTACTAGATTCGGAATCAAGTTGAAATATCGGACTTGGATAACTAGCCGGACCATACACCATTTCATAATGCCCTCTGCACATGCGCGTTCTAGGAGAAGATGGCGAAAATGTTTTTGGTTGCTGTTGTATTTCAGAGTTATCAAAGGTACTTGAACTTTGTGCGTGCTGGCTTATTTCTGTTTTTGATCTTCCATTGCTGGGGCTCTTACCTGCTTCTGTGTCTCGGTGGCCAATGTCAGAACATGAAGATAAACAAGAATCAGGATCATTGTCATTGTCACTGGTAATTTGTCCGAACAATCTGTCGTTATCAATTCCATCCAAAAGATCACCGAGAGACACATCAAATGAAGACGTCATTCCATCTGTGTCGTTAGGCAACTTTGAGACAGTGTCTAGTTCTGTTGAGGTATCAAATGATCTAGGTTTCTCGAAACTCCTCACTAGGCTGTCAAGCACTTCTGCAGAATCGTCTATCTTATTAGAAAAGCAATCTTTTAGCGTAGCATCCCACGAACCGTCGTCAATAAACTCGCTCCCATCTAAATCAGGCATTGGACACAGGGTACTACTTTGATCACTTTCATAACACTCGTCGTCTCCCTCAAACGACGTCGATGAAATGAGTTTTCCAATGAATTTGAAAGAGTTCATTTCCTGATTATCAGCGGTGCGCACATTATCCAAAGAAGTTGAACTATCCAGTCGCTCAGAGTCACTTACGATCTGGTCCAGTGTGTTTTGGTCTTCTGTGTAGCTATGATTACTAGAATTGGCCTCATGATCTAAAGATAAATCCTCCGGATTAGAGGACTTGAATATAACGTCATCCTCGTCGTTTTCCACGTTTGTAGTTTTTAGTCCACAATCTTCCTGTGAAGTTGCCTGGGACATATTTGTTTCTGGGTGTGAATATTGTTTGGTTTGAATGTTGATAGGAATTTGATAGTCTGAATAGGCAGCTGATTTGTCCATCAGGTTGACATATAGCTGTTCAGACGGGGCCTGTTGTACATCCTCTTCTGGGAAGAATGTGTTCCTGTGAACAAACTCACACATATCCACATACAGATCGTCTTTATCAGCCGATGGCTGATACGTGTAGTAAACAGGTGTATACTTCATGTCTTCTTCAGATTGCTTAACATTTTCCTCCAATTTTGAATCATGACTTTGCTCATGTGGAGAAAATGTCCGTCTATGGACGATTTCCAAACCGTCTTCTAAATCACGGTTGGTTTTTTCTCCGTGTAATCCTATAATCGAATCCGATGTAACGATGACCAACTCTTTTTCAGACTGATGTGCATCACTCATATCTAAGAAATCTTTATCTTCATTCGGGTCTGACGACATCTTGCATACGGAACTATTTGTCGATATCTGCTTTGCAGGACTAGTTGATGATAACTTGCGTACGGAACTAGCTGTCGACGACATCTGATATGGAGATCTAGTTGTCGATGCTTGCTGACCTCCTCTATATGTAAATGACGCCTGGTGTGCAGATCCATTCGCCATGGACTTGATCTTTTCATCCATGTGATCTTTTGCGTTATCCCTTACGCCTTCAACTTGAAACGACACTGTCTTCTTCGCTTTTAAATCTGGAGAACTTTTAGCCTTTCGGTTAGGTTTTATAAGTAAAATCTTAGATTTTATTTCAGGAGATGTAGGGACCTCGTATGCATTTCCATCAGGTTGATCCGGAAAAACATGCGTTCTGCTCTCTGGTTGCATGTCACCATAATTGTCACGGGTACGATTTTCTGTATTCGATACAGACTTCCGTTGTAACATCGGATGGGACGACATGCTTGTGGTCTTGAAGGACAGTGCATTCAGGACAGGGAGACTACGACTGACTGGTCCGTGCAAGTTGGATGCTGTTTGTTCCTGAAAGTCATGGTAATCCTTTTCTGAAATTTGTATCCACGAATCGTCACTGTGGATAATACTACTGTCCAGGTTTGTCGAAACGTCGGCTTCTTCAACTAAATGTTCAAACATCTGAGGTTCTTTGCCAGGTTTGTTCTTTACTTCTACAACAGGAGGTATATATATATATAGTATTTATTATATTTTCGTCTTCCTTGTTATTTTTGTAAATCAGACATTGAAACAATTTATGTATCATGGGAGTGCAATCAAGTTCTGAATTTATAAACAAACTTTGAGTTTTTATTAGATGCTTTGTTTATTCCTTTTGCTTTTAATAAGGAAACATTTATGATCAAACCAGAATTCGAAACATAGTAGATAACCAAATTATTCTTACTATAAAATATTATATTTACAAAGCAAGGTGCCTAGAAAACGCTCTATCAGTCAATGGCCTTAAAACGGTACAAAAGAGATTTATGAGATACAGAAATATATGGTGAATGGGAAAGATAAAAAACATAGACATACCTTCCAAAAAGACTGGGAAAAGTGGCAATACCTTCTTTATATCCCATAAAACCCTCAATTTAATTATTTATATGTAGAAAACCAATTAAGGGGTAATAGTAATATGTAGGAATACTCTAAGTATATTGAGCTGATATAATAAAACTGGTACTCTCTCTCCAACCTAAGAACCTTGGATACTTTACTATTCCTGAAGACTGTATCTCATTTTCTCCTATACCTGTACACAGTTGTATGAATCAACAAGATTTGAAATGGAAATGACTGAGGATATTTCTTTAATTGACTGTATCTTTCCCTCTTCTTTCTATAATATATCTGTACATCAGAAGACATTTAAATTGTTAAGTATGTATATTATAAGAGCTAATAAGCTGAAAGAAAGTATGATCGGTGTGTGAGAGAGAGGATATGATATGCTTTAGCAAATCAACACTCACATGTGAATAAAATTGGTATTTTTGCTTATTATGATGATGATGATGACATCAATGTGATAACTACTTTGTATCATGATGAATTTATCAGTGTGTTAGTTATGATGATTATATTATTATACGATGAAGATGATATCAATTAGAGATTGATGATGGCATGAGTGTGATAATGATGAAATCAGTGTGATAATGACGATGATGATGATGATGATGATGATGATGATGATGATGATGATGATGATGATGATTTTAGTGTCTTGTTGATGAAATTAGTGAGAGTAGAATGAGAATAACTATGATGAAGAGTATGTCAATGTCATGATGAAAATGTCTGGGTAATGATGAGGATGATAATATCATATGATGATAATGATATATGTTTGATGATGACGACAACATTGTGATGATGATGATATTATGATGAGAATGATGTTGATTTCAGTCATGATTATGATGATGATGATAATGATATAAGTTTGATGATGACGCGTACGACAACAGAGTGGTGATGATGATATTATTGTGAGAATGATGTTTATTTCAGTCATGATTATGATGATGATGATGATAATGATATCAGTTTGATGACGGTAACAGTGTGATTACGATATTATTGTGAGAATGATGTTGATTTCAGTAATGACGATGATATTAGTTTGATGATTATGACAAGTTTGATTACGATCGATATTATTGTGACAATGAGGTTGATTTCAGTCGTGATGATGATAATAATAATAATGAAAAAGTTTATGTCAATTGGATGATGATTTTGTGTCATGATGGATATATGGTGTGATGATTATGATGTTGATGATGATAATGATAAAGAGGAGGAGGATGCTGATGTTTTCAGTATTAATGTCATGATGATGATGATGATGATGATGATGATGTTTGGAGTGTCATGACGATGAAATCGGTTAGAGCATGATGATTATGATTAGAGTCTCATGACGATGAAATCAGTATGATTTTACTAATGAGGATGATTACGAATGAGGATGATGTCAATGTCATGATAAAGATATCGGATGATGATAACAAAACATTATGAAATGATGTGTGATATATGTGAATGCAGTGAGCGTGTGTATGGGTGTAAGGGGGTATGACCAAAAAAATGTATCTATGCAAATTGTACCAGAAATACCTTTGAAAAATAAAAATATTACACACAAAAAAAATCGTCTTCGTAAAACTTTCAATCAATCAAATACGTATTTCATAAATGACCAAATATGCACACCACTCTTAAAATGTTATTTTTTATCTTTAAATTTTGTTGTTCTGTTTCACATTCACAGTTTTTATATCCTTTGGAAACGAATTAAAATTCAGTACCTTTCTTTTTAGACAGTTTTGGCTTATCTTGTTCAGCTTTCCTAGACAAAACATATTAAAAAACAAGAAAGAATGATTTTCACATTTCATACACTATTATACATGTACAATGATACATGATATAAAAATCATGTGCTACTGAAAATTGCTACTTAATATTTTAGAATTTGTATTTATGAAAATATATTTGTTTCGTTACATTCTTCTCTCTAAAACTGAATTGTTATTAATGATGCCCCTTTCGAAACACGTAAAGTAAGACAAATTTCCAATAAAATATCGCTTTTTCATATCAAATCCCATTGAATTCTTTAGCCGACAAAGGGGTTTCTGACTGATAAGAAATATATTATATAAGTTATCATATATATTATACGTCGTTACCTGTATGCACAGCAGTATACCAGGAAACCAAGCAAACTAGAGAACAGAAGACCAATCAGACATGCGACGAGAACGTAGAGGCGAAAGTCGCTATGTGATACATCTGAAAGGGGAAATGATTCTGTTTTTCTTATATTTAAATTAAGAAAGAGGAGTTACAACAGTAAAATAATATATAATAGAATATAAGTTATTTCAACTAAATACAGCTAGGTATGGATATCATGATTCTCAACAAACAGACTATTCCGTCTTTGCGTATTGCAAAGTTATCTTCTCTTGAGAGCAGGGATTGATTGTTACGTCATTGGTTTGTGTGAGAAAATTACGTCGTTTTCTCAAAAATTGATGACGTTACTCTCACAAACAAATGACGTAACAATCAATTCCTGCTCTCAAGAGAAGATAACTCTGCAATACGCAAAGACGGCATTTACTCACAAAGGGATAACATATGCTCAACAAAAGTGAAGAGATGGAGAGTGAGGATGTACTCGTCAGCAGCATCGAGGACATATTTTTTTACGTTTCAAAACAGTTAAGCCTTGAACTGTCATCAATATGAACATTTTCTTTTAAAAAAAGACAAAAGTACTAAAAGATAGATAGTAAACATCGTTTCTTAATTTCTGTTGTGGAGACTAGATTGATCTCAGATACATCAGAAAGAGTTTACGTCATCAAATACAACCTAAAAGTTACTTTCTATAAGTATTGTTTATTTAAACACATATATCAATAGTTTCTGGTTCTTTATATCGGGTAATCGATCCCGAGTATTGATGCAATATTTAACCTTTTACAGTGAAAAACCCACAAAATTCCTACCATGAACACATTCAAATTGTGAAGCTAACCTCAATTATGTTATTTCCAAAAAATTATAAAGCATAGCTAATGCAGTATTTAAACGGAATCATTGGCTATCATATACACATACGGTCCTGACAGTGACGTCCTCCATATCCTTTTCGACATGCACACGTGACCTGTTTGAGCTGTCTATGGAAGCTGTATCTTTGTTCTTTGCATGTGCCTCCGTTTTCACATGGTGACGAGGAGCAAGTCAATACCTCTTAAACAAATATAGAAGAGAATTTGAAAACTTTATATTTTTAAATGCAATAATAATTTTCATGCTTACAATGTTTTATCTACTCGAGTGAAATATTGTAATGTATGGCATATTTGTGTAGGTAAATATATACTATCACAAGTCTTATACATATTAAATCAATCGACCCGAACGTTCATATAAAATAAAATCCATGGAGTAGGATGAAAACGTGTTTGTCTTCTTGAATCTGAAACGACGAGTGAAAATATGAACAGTAAACAAATTAATCACATCAGATGAAGTATAAAATAACTGATATTCATCAAGAAACAAGGGATACTCTATGCATTACATTTACAAAGGATTAACGTGTGTACAGAACTGACAGATGTCATCATTGAATGGTGGAATCATCTGTTAATGACACCACAATCAAATCAACATTTTGCTATTTGTCCACAGTAACCCCGCCATGTATTTTCGTCATAAAAAACCTTCTGCTTCATTGATGAATACGAAATGATTGTGATTTTGAAAGGAACATTTTTACATACATTTTATATATAAACGCTTCTTTTTTTAATGATCATAAATTGTAGGTACAGGCTTCCGCCTTTCTATGGTAAATGTATCAAATGAATATAATGTATACCGGGAAATGCTCGCCGCAGTTTAGCTTTTCCCTTTTTGCCTTCCCAATTGAGAGCGAATTTATCATGACACATTAGTGCAAAACATACAATTTATATGTACAACATTATAGTATTTAAATGTGACGGGCGAAATGAACACTTGGTGAACAGCAAACTTTCAAAGTGTGTAAGAACGTTGTCTGAGTGTGAGCAGCTACAGAGCGATATAGATAGAGTGTATGATTGGTGCACTGTGTGGAAAATGAAAGTGAATGTGAAGAAGTGCTGCCAGGTCATTTTTACAAACAAAAAGAAATGTATGAATTTTAATTACACTATGAACGGTAAGAACCAGAAGAATGAAATACGTGTGAAAGATCTTGGTGTTTGACTGACCTCTTCAATGAGTTTTAGTACCCACATTAGACGTACTGTTTCCAAATCAATGCTAAAGCTCGGTTTTATAAAACGTTCATGTAAAAGTTTTACACAAATACCTGTTTTAAGGTCTTTATATATAAGTCTTGTCATGAGTCAGTTAGAATACTGTTGTCAGATCTGGTCTCCTTACCAAACATCTTTAATTCACCAGGTCGAAGTTTTCCAGCGTAAATTTTTGAAATGTTTATGTTTTAAGACATGTTGACTACAATTCCATGTCTTACGCTGACACTTGTAGGCATTTTAATCTTCCTAGCCTCGACATAGGTGGTATTTTAGTTTACGCTGACACTTGTAGGCATTATAATCTTCCTAGCCTCGACCATAGGTGGGCATTTTAAGACTGTGTATTTCTTTACAAATGTATGGCAAGCCAACTTAACATTTATTCAAGGAGCAATGTCGATCCTGTATTTCAAAAAAAATATATAAGATATCTTATATAGCATATGAGATATCTTATATACTCTATAAGATATCTTATATCGTATATAAGATATCTCATATAGTATATGAGATATCTTATATAGTATATGAGATATCTTATATAATATATAAGATATCTTATATCCTATATGAGATATCTCATATAGAAATTAAATGAGATATCTTATATAAGTATATAAGATATCATATATACTATATAAGATATCTTATATCGCATATAAGATATCTCATTTAATTTTCTATATAAGATATCTCATATAATATATAAGATATCTCATATAATTTATAAGATATCTAATATACAGCTATATAAGATATCTTATATAATTGAAATATCGTTGCTATATAAGGTAGCTGATATAGAATGAGATTTCGTGGCATTAAAAACCAGAAACTAATTTCTCCCTCGAGAATCATTCGGAGCACATTCAGGATTGCATTGGGCGCAATGGCGGAGAGGGATGGTACGGATGCTGTATTTTCCCTAGGCCTAGCTCGCCTTGTCTCTCTTATAGCGGCCAAAGCAGAGGCTGCCATTTCCCGCACTCTTGAAGTGGGCTCAGACATAATGGCGGCGACAGGAACACGTGTTGTTACAACAAGCTTACTGTCCCTACGTAGATCCTCGAGATATTCCGGACGGGGAGACTTCATTTTCGACATTTTGTTAAAATCTCGTTCCTATATAAGATATCTTATTTAGTAACGAGACTTTAATTTATGATATCTTATATACTTATATAAGATATCTCATTTAATTTCTATATGAGATATCTCATATAGGATATACGATATCTTATATATTATATAAGATATCTCATATAGTATATAAGATATCTTACATAGCTATATGAGATATAGAAAATTAAATGAGATATCTTATATACGATATAAGATATCTTATATATCATATAAGATATCTTATATAGCATCTCATTTAATTTCTATATAAGATATCTCATATAGTATATAAGATATCTTATATATTATATAAGATATCTTATATATTATATAAGATATCTCATATACTGTATAAGATATTTCATAAACTATATGAGATATCTTATATACGATATAAGATATCTTATATAGTATATAAGATATATGCTATATAAGATATCTTATATAATTCGATGAAATACAGGATCGACATTGTTCCTTGAATAAATTTTAAGTTGGCTTGCCATACAAATGTGTTAATAGTGCTTTTGATTGTCCATATTTAGTCAAGCAAATGTGTTTTTCGTCCCTGGTCGTAATCTACGATCAATTCGTTTCAACCAGTTTTACTGCCAGAGAAGTAGAATAAACGTTAGAAAGTATAGTATTTTAAACAGAATTCAATGTAATTTTAACTCTCTTGATTTTGCACCAGACTGCGATATGTTTCGTTCCTCTCTCGCCGAGTTCCAAGAACTGTTAAAGAATATTTGCTATCACTAATTCCTTTTGTTTTACATATGAGTATCTTTTAGTGTGTGTTACAAGAATAACTGACTGTGATATTTTATACTTGTGTTGAAATGTTGTTATCCATTCTGTAAGTTGACCCTTGGATCTGTTGAATTGGAAATAAATAAATAAATAAATAAATAGATTTTATCAGCAAAGGGCGAATTTTCTAATTGGCAAAATTTTCCTGGTATGCAGTATACCAGGTTTCAGTCTGTAATCGGGACTTTTCATCATAGGAATCAATATTACTTTAACCAGACTGTTCGTCGACTATATAGATGTCTTGGGTACTGAACTATTGACGTTTCCTCTGAAACACGTGAACAATGAATACGTCCTAAATAATTTAATAATTCTGGTGTTTTCATCAGGCAATCATGTGCATCATATTGTTAGTAACAAACATTAACGCGATATATTTTTCTGGCATTATTTTGTGATTTTGTTCATAGTGGTTCTTATTTCTGTCGCTAGATGTATTCCTCGTTAATCATCATGAAGCACAATACTGGGTTTTTTTTCGATAAAAGGATGTTTTGCAGTTTAATCTTCCCATGAACTTTATTCAATAGTCAAAACGTGCACACTTTGGTCCACTTGCAATTACCATAGTAAAGAAAACATGAGGGCTACCATAGATAATTATCGCTGACAACGGCAAGACATTTATTATTCAGTATGTAAGAATAATAGAATATTTCATCCCCTTGGAGGTGAAACAGTGGAATCTCAACCCGAGGGGGAGGGAGATTCTTCAGTTGTCAAACACGAGGCTTTGCCGATTCCCCTATCTCACTCTCAAGGGGGTGAATGATCCTTTTTCTCTTACCCTGTTCACCCGTTATGTATCATATACATAATATAATGTTAACGTTACATGCTAAATTCAGGGTTCGCGTGACGTTGATGGATTGTTGACATGGCGTCATTGTATTGTTAACGTGACGTCATACCATTGTTATGAATAGGGGAATCCCATAGTGTATCATAAGCATAATGTAATACTTATGTTACAGGCTGAATTCACGGTTGACGTGACGTTGATGGATTGTTGACGTTACGTCATTGTATAATTGTCGTGACGTCATAACATTGATATGAATACGGGGATTCCCCCGTCTAGGGTGAGATTAATCAAATCCATCCCTGACGTGAGGTATGGATAAGGTTATTCAAACCCAAGGGATAAAATATTGAGCAGGAGACCCGAGGCTTTGCCGAGGGTCTTTTGCTCAATATTTTATCCCAAGGGTTTGAATAACCTTATCATTACCTCACATCAGGGATGATTTCTATTTCTTGCTTATTCCCTAAAACCCGTACAACATTTCTCATTTGCATATGAAGCCCGGATGGCAATTGTTAGTGACGTTAATGACCCTGACTGACCCCAAAACGTCATAAAATGACGTCACGACCAGTAGCGTGACCCCGAAAGGTCATTATAATTCCCCCGCTGTCTGCGCGTGTGTCACTATAATTACCCCGCCACTCTGCGCGTGTAGAATTTTCCAGCACCGCCGGAATTGCGGATATCTCGGTCTCGGTATGCACGAAAAGGATATCTCACACCGGTAAAATTGTGGATACACCTGTCCAGTGTTAGAGAAACAGCTATCTCAACTATAAAAAGTACTTATAGAATCTCACCTATTCTTGTGTCCGTCGTGACAATTTGGCTGGGTTGTAGTTGGTCGACGATGCAATGGTAGACTCCCTCATCCGACTTCTGGGCCCCATGGATTACGAGAGTGTCACTTACCATGTATATTCTAAATAGAGTTATAAGATTTGTGTATGTTTAATTGGTGCTAGAGAGAATTTTATAACTTTCATTTGTCTTTATATGCCCTAAAATCAAACTGACATATACATTTACTATAAAATTAATTATTTATATCATAAAATCAAATTTTTAACATCAGAGCGTTTATAAAACGAAGAAACCAGAAATAACAAGGATCTGTACTCAAAAAGCCGTTACCTTGTTAATATCAGATTATTTTCTTAGGTTGAAGTATAAATCGATTTATAAAATTTAAACATTTCACTTTTTCTTTACTCAGCAGAACTCTCTAGTTGAAACAATTCCTATGCTTGTTGTTTACTTTTTAAACTTATCACAAGATCTCAAAGAGTTAAAGGAATTTGGTATAATCACTTCACTTGAGCTTGAGCGTGGTTTTAGCAGCAAGATGCCGGGAGATATATTTATATAACCTCGTTATATTTCAACTATTTCCTGATCAGTATCAATCCCAATTGTTATGTCAACATTTTCAATATAACTTTTGTTATCAGTATGAAATCACAAAGACGATGTATGGTAATCTTCTAAGTTAGAACGTTTAACAAGTATTGGTGAAACTCCTCTCATGAAACTATAGCCTCTATAAAAAGCAGAAATTTGAGAAATCTTAGTCGAAAAAATCATGCAGAGCACTCAAATGTGCTAATATACTTCTTGCCGATATGGACAACGAATACCTATGATTAGTTATTTACAAATCTAATGATATCTTGTTATCAAATTATATGTTAATAATCGATTTTTTAATCTGTTGTAATTTTCATTTCAACTTTATTTTATTTTATTTCATTTTATTATTTTCTATGGAGTGTGTTCTCTTTATGATGCATCTTGATGTTATTTATTTTTTAGTGACACAGTTAGTATGTTCAAACAGCACTAACCACGTTTTTGTACGTAACCATCTGATAGAAAAATACTTCGACGTCACGAAAACAATAAAACATGACGTCACAATCAAGTGCAAATAAGGATCATAAAACAGATTATAGCGCTGATACATGTATAGTGTTTTTCAATAAAGCTCTGAGAGAATGGGAGAAAAAGAGGCATCTCCTATAGTGTTGGTTTACCAGAATTGTTTTACACCCGGATTAAGAATCCTGACTGCCTAACGCTCGGTTTGAAACCAGCGTCGGGTTAAATAATCAAATATGTCACATTTAGGTTGACGAATTTTCTGTCATAACCTTTCAAATAATCTGTTGTTGCCCTTGTTTTGATTATACCTTGGTAAATGTGTAGTTCGGGACACCTTATTTCCACCAGGAGTTATCCAATAAGTCTGTGGGGACGACCAGGGGCGCGACAATCCACAACTCAGCACCGTGTCGTAACCTAGAAGCACTGTCTTCCGCCAGGTATTGGAGTCTGAAATGAGGAGAAAATGATGGTATATAAGATGTGTGCACTGAAACAATAGTTGTAAAGTATAAAGTATCTAAAGTCATATGAAAGCAGGACACATTGCCTAAAAGAAAAGGGTAAAGATCAACAGTGTTATAGTTGGGGCAGCTGATCAATTTCGGTTTTTGCAATGCATTTTAAGTAGAAATTTATCTGCAATCCACCAGCATACATTTATAATAACGATCGACCCTATAGTATAATAGATGGGTCTGGGCAATCGACATCGACGGTGGTGGCTCATTGTGCGTCATAAACAAAATTATCAACAATATATAGCTAAATGATAAGCAATACCAGTGCCCTTGACGATTTTCCCGCTAAAAGATGATTAAATAAAGTTATATATAGAGCAATGTGTGAGATTTGAAATTATACCCAACGACATTTCTGGAAAAAGCATGGTTCATAAAAAGGATATGCATGAAAATTAAAGCAGAATTCAAAAGTACCCCAACATGTTTGTTTTATGATTGTTTGTCGGACTAAGGGGGTTATCATGTAAACATGCTATTTATCGACATAAGGCGCCAATAAAATTGCACTGGAAGACAAAACAAACAACACTGTACCTGCATTGCATGTAGACATAATGCAAAGCCTAGCCATTGTGATCGGTTCCTTACACCTGTCCCTATTGAGCGTTATCTTTGTTTTAGCCTTTCGTCCAGAGCCCCCATCACACGTTCTCGATCTCTTCTCCTGACCTAGGCCACACGTCACTGAACATGCTGACCAGCTTGACCATGGCATTGGCTGTTGTGGGTGGACCTTATGACAAGCGGACGTCGTACAAACCCTCGACACGTGGCTGGGCTTAGTTAGACATTCCGCCGTCTTATGCGGACACACACGTGATCGCGTGGTTATACCGGTTCCACACGATGCCGAGCAGTGACTCCAGTTGCTCCATTCTTCGAATACTGATGCAAATTAAAATATTATTTAAACTTTGATGTATATATTAGTTTGAAGTTCAATATCATGGCAACCGTCTCCTAATTTACAGTTCCAGGTTTAGCACTTTTTCAATTGCATCCCCTCTAATAATCAATTGCATTCGCTTCGCCCCTGATATGATATCTCATCTTATCACATTATTCGTACCACTGGTTGACAGAAAGACATACAGACACAGTCCAAAAGATATAGCTTTTCAGGAAAAAATCAAACAAAAATCAAAACAAAAAACAAAACCTAAGGGCACCAAGTTTGGTCCATTCGGTACCATCAGGAATCAAACCATAATGGAATTTGCGTAAAAATAAACAAAGCACCGATTAATTGACTTTTTTAAACGGTTATGAAATCCCTCGGGATTCAAATGTTTTAGATGACATACCTGGAACGATTGTTATAAATGTTATTTCACGGGACTCTGGAATGACAGACATATTATTAAATCACCACTTATCTACCTCGAATGGAACCCGTTCTTGCATCTTCTCTAGTCCATCCAAATCTTTCTGTTATCGCAGCTCTGGATGCCAAGTAAGACGCGTTGTAGAGTTTCCGTAGAATCTCAGCAGTCGCTATTCCAATTTTCTTAGAAAAGGTATTCGCGTTTCCATTCTGTATCATTAGTTGATGAGCAGAGGCTTTGGCCGACTTCTCGATCTCTTTCAGATCAGACTTTGACACGTTGAACATATCGATTAGTTGCTGCACTTCCTCTCGAATATCTCCGAGCATTAGTTGTCTTCTCTCCCCGGACGACAGGTGAAGACACTGAAGAACCAGGATCTTTGGACATCGCCCTTTTTTCCCTTGCTTTCCACAGAAAAACTCCACGCAGTTATACATCACTTGGTCTTTTGTATGTTTCTGTTTCCTAACCCTCGTGTCATTCTTGCTTGATGCAGATGTGCGCACATAGCCGCGATATTTGTTAACTAAACTAGGTTTTCTTTTCTGCGACGTTGAACTCAATATCGAATCCAGTGCAGTGTTAGAGTCTGATATGTTACTATTTATTCGTATTTCCATTTTTCTGTGAATATTCAGTTTAGATTTGCCGCCTTTGGTCCATGTTCCATGCTTAGTCAATGTTATGTTCAAACTCAATGGTTTGACTTTTCTGTGTACACTAAGACTTCCAATGGCCTTTGAATTATTATGAGTTTTAACTACAGGTACATTTATACCTCGAGATGCATTTACTATTGCGGTTGGCATTTTTATTCTACCCGAGTGATTCCTGGTAATGTCTTTACTTTCAGCAACGGTTGGTGATGTATCTGTCATATTTGGGTCATAGCTTGTAGTGTTCATTATCTTTACAGTTCCCCAAACCGACATTTCGGTAGCGGCCCCAGCAATCAGTTTTGTTGATATTTTCTCTTTCTTCGATTTGTGTTTTTGATTTTGTGTTCCTGGTTTTCTGCTGGTCACTTTAACATTTCTGTGTCTGCTTTTACCAAAAGATCTACTTGGTATCCGACTGAAAGAAATCCTGTCACTTCTATTGGTCTTTTCTTGTCCCTGTGATGTCATTGCGCTGCTGGATAAATGTTCAAGTACAAGATCTTCAAATGTCCTTGCTCTTGAAGGACGCTTACGGGGTTTTCTAATGGAGTATGTCTTCGCCGTTCTTGGTTTTGTTCGTGGACCAATGGTCTTTGTTCCTGACACAGAAGTCTGGGCGGATACCTTGCTTCTCTTTGTATAAACCCCATGTTCTGTTGTAAGGAAATAATGAAATACTTAAGGGAAAACATGGTGAACATATTTATAGACTTACACGTGTTTTATATACATCTGTGTAGACGATTGTGGCATCGGGGAATCGCTAAGGCGGAACACCCCACTAGTTTACGGTGTGACTTAACAAACTTTTACTCTTTTTTTTTGTCTGATTCAACATATAATTATATTAAATCGTTGAATAGCAGGCATGTAGAATATCTTTAAAAAAATTGAAAGCAATATAATGTTATACTTGAATGATTAAATCGACTAACTGAACATTGCGAGATGATATCATTGACTATATAGAACATAGGCAAGAGTGTTCGCATGAAATCGCTAAACCAATAAGTGACAGAGTACTCTGTAGTTCAATATCAGGTCCATGTATCTCATGATCCCTTCACAAAAGCAGTGAATCCAAAAATTAAATATATATGAGTAAATAATTGGCTGTTCCTTTGATCATTTAACGGGTTTAATGAACTCCACCTAAATTTGACTGTACTGAGATGCTTTCCATTATGCATCACTTAATTCCGACAATATCAGACGTTCCAAGCTGGTAATTTGCGAAGCAATAATGAGACGGTGTTTTTAATGACAAACTAATGCCCTTGATTGCGCAATTGCCGTTTCTGAGCTACAAAGACTTTTGGTGTAACAAAATAGATATAACGGCAGCAAACCTCGATAATGACATCTTGTTTGTTGATAGTCTGCTGTTTACAATCGCTATCGCACCGGCGTTTGATTAAATTGGCTCTTGCCGTCAAACGTTCTTGTGACCATCACGGTTGGGAAACGAAGCGGTGAACGCACATTTTTCGCGCATGTGATATTTTTCACTGTCTCATGGCAATATCACCCGCGCCCCTTAAAACCAATGTGTTTTCGGTTAGAAATTCACTTGAGGTGTAACAACAGCCTATATTACCTGTCTAAAATAATCTCCTGTCTTTATTCATCACCGGTCTATAAGTATCACCTGTCTGTATCAAACATCTGCTTATATTATCTGTCTATAACAATCTTCTGCCTGTTCGTATCACCTGTCTATAATTATCACCTGTCAGTATCAAACATCCGCCTATATTACCTGTCTATAACAATCTACTGTCTGTTCGTATCACCTGTCTATAATTATCACCTGTCAGTATCAAACATCCGCATATATTACCTGTCTATAACAATCTCCTGTCTATAGTTATCACCAGTCTATAAGTATCACCTGTCTATATCAAACATCCGCCTATATTACCTGTCTATTACAATCTCCTCGGTATAGTTATCACCGTTCTATAATCATCACCTGTCTGTATCAAACATCCGCATATATTACCTGTCTATAACCATCTCCTATCTATAGTTATCACCGGTCTATAACTAGCACCTGCCTGTATCAAACATCCGCATATATTACCTGTCTTTAACCATCTCCTGTCTATAGTTATCACCGGTCTATAATTATCACCTGTCTGTATCAAACATCCGCCTATATTGCTTGTCTATAACTATTTTCTGTCTGAAGTAATCACCGGTCTATAATTATCACCTGTCTGTATCAAATATACGCCTATAGTACCTGTCTATAACAATCCCCTGTCTATAGTTATCACCGGTCTATAATTATCACCTGTCTGTATCAAACATCCACCTTTATTACCTGTCTATAACTATTTTCTGTCTGAAGTAATCACCGGTCTATGATTATCACCTGTCTCACGCTACTCACAATAGGAATCGGTCGTTAGACATACGTCACTCACCACAGGATTCCGACGATTAGACATACGCTAATCACAATAGGATTCCGACGTTTTTACATACGCTACTCACCACAGGATTTCGACATTTAGACACACGCTTCTCACCATAAAATTTGACGTTTAGACATACACTACTCGCCATAGGATTCCGACGTTAAGATATACGTCACTCACCACAGGATTCCGACGTTTAGACATACGCTTCTCACCATGAATTTTACGTTTAGACATACGCCACTCGCCACAGGATTCCGACGTTAAGGTATACGCAACTCACCACAGGATTCCGACGTTAAGATATACGCAACTCACCACAGGATTCCGACTTTTAGACATACGCTTCTCACCATAAAATTTTACGTTAAGACATACGATACTCACCATAAGATTCCGAATTTTAGACTAACGCTACTCACCGTATGATTCCGACGATAAGACATACGCTACTCGCCATAGGATTCCGACGTTTAGACATACGCTACTCGCCATAGGATTCCGACGTTTAGACATACGCTACTCGCCACAGGATTCCGACGTTTAGACGTACGTTTCTCACCGTAAATGTGACGTTTAGACATACGCTACTCGCCATAGGATTCCGACGTTTAGACATACGCTACTCGCCATAGGATTCCGACGTTTAGACATACGCTACTCACCACAGGATTTCGACGTTTAGACATACGCTACTCGCCATAGGATTCCAAATTTTAGACATACGCTACTCACCATAGTATTTCTTTACCTTTACCTCTTCTTCGACACCGTTGTTAGCTAAATTGCTAGTATAGGCGCATCTTGGTTTGGTAACGTACTGTTAACCGGTTGTGTAGCATAAAAACTAGGATAAAACTTGGACGGTATATTATTCCAACAGATGTTTAATCTAGATTTAAAACAGTTAAGAGAAGGGGCTTCTAATACTGAATTGGGAAGGGAATTCGCATTTATATATACGCTTCTATTGTACAGCTATAGACATTAACTTTTTTTCTTATTTTACACAATTATGAAACAAGGTAGGTTAACTTATAATAATCACTCTCGTTATATTAGCCCGAAAGTAAGCGCAGTGGTATTCAGATTGGAGGAAACTTGAGTTCGTGGAGAAAACCCACGTGGCCGGGCAGGTGACCACAAATACCTTTAACGTCGGATCGGGTAATCGAACCCTGCACTATCCACTCCGCCATCCGACAACCCAAGTGTTTAGGTATAATCACTCACCAGGTGGTTTGACGTTGAGTATGATTCCTAGTCTAACTAGTTTGTGGATAGGTACTATCGACGTCCAAATCTCCAGCACCAGGGGATTTCCTATCCGCCTTTGTATAATCCCTATGGGTATCGAACATTGACACTGATTTCTAGTGTAAAACAAAAAAAAATATAATTATTCATCATGTTATAGTTTGCATGACAATTAAAAGTGTTTTAGACTTATATAGATTCAAAACATTGAAATATATATAAATATTTCTTTTTTTTTTAAATCAATTGGCGAAGGGAAGATAGATTATATTAAAAATCTTTTTTTCTTTTGTTGGTTTACCCATAAATATTTTTTATTTTACTATTTATCATTTTAACCGCCGTACCTGCATGATGTTATTTCATTGTCGGCTGCTGATTCGCTGAGTTCCCGCCATGATACGGGAACGCCCTCTATCCTTCGTCCATCGCATCCGGTGAGTTCAAACTCTGCTGTATAATTTAAGTCTGGTGAATATGTGACAATGCCATTTCCACATAGAGGTTTTGTCACTGATGCATTATAACACCCGATCTTAATTCCACCTAGAAATCAAAAAGTGATAGACAACTTGTAACCAAAACGTATAAATATTGAACTGTCACAATTTCCATCTAGTCCTGAGCATTCCGTCTTTGCGTATTGCAGAGTTATCTTCTCTTGGGAGCAGGTATTGATTATTACGTCATTGGTTTGTGCGAGAAAATTACGTCGTTTTCTCAAAAATTGATGACGTTACTCTCACAAACAAGTGACGTAACAATCAATACCTGCTCCCAAGAGAAGATAACTCTGCAATACGCAAAGACGGAATTGGTGAGCCTTGCATACACCACAGGGACCTGAGAATTGTTTACTGCTATATTTGGACCTAAACTAAGGTGTTTAGATGAATTTCACATGTTTTCGGGGTTTAGATCGACTTTCGGTAAAAATGTCACCCCAACGATGATAATATATGAGTATATCATCATCATTGGGGATGGCATTTTTACAGAAAGTCGAAAAAAAATGCTTCCCCCAATGATGATAATATATGAGTTTATTATCATCACTGGGGTGGCATTTTTACAACGTGTAAAATTTATCTGAACACCTCCATAGTTTAGCTGTAACAAATCCGACCTCAGGTCCATGTGGCGTGATCGTCCTCTGTTCTATCTAAGGTGACAGTACCAAAAATGGACCACCAAACCATGATTTTCTTCATTCATTGAAAATGCAACGGATGAGTTATATTAGTTTTTGATTGTATCAAAAGAGGAATATCGCTGTTCTTACCAACGAAATATTTATATAGAATACTCTTACGTCACCAATTACCGTTTCCGATTTTTTGCAATCTCAGTACCCAAAGCGGATCACGACTTGAATTTTGCAATATTTTGCGCTTCAAATGAACATTTCTCTGTCAGCATTTCAACATCTTATGATGATCTTTGGAATATTAATGAAAAAAAAGTATTTCTATATTGTGAATGTATTCCTACAGTCCGAAACAAAATACATAGTCATCGCAAGCGCCATTTTTTAACAACGTAAACAAAAAAATAGATTTTTGGTTTGAAATACGTCTTCTGATGCTAGGCCTATATGAGCTTAAAAGTTGTTCACCTCTAGACTTAAAACGATGCATAACTATCTGTTTTAAGGATAATTACTGTATTGTAATAACTTGACTGTTGATACAATTATTTATTTATAAGTATTTTGCAAAGAGTGATCCGAATTGGGTACTTATCTGATTTGGGTCCTGCCTCCTTAACTACAATAGGCCTATTCAGCATCCTGATATTTTATTGGCCTTTCCTTATCATAAGATTATACATATATAATTACACATACAGAGGGAAAATGTCTATAAAGATATATGAAGTACGTATAGACATTTAAAAAAGGAAAAGGCAGGCGGGAAGAGATTGACATTGGAGATAGATTTGATTCCAGGGTAAATCAAAATTCGTCGGAGCCCGAAGATCTCAGTCAGCAACAATACAAAAACTAATCCGGCGATTGGCAATCAATCGATTGAGTTGGATCAATTTCATATTTTCACTCTTTTCCAAAATATTTGCACATGAATAGACACCCTCTATGTATAAATTCCTTGCCTGCAATACTTACATGATTTCTCATTTGGTATCCTGTTACTTTCAACAGTATTTACCTTTACCGCGAATGATGCGGCAGAAAGGAAGATTGCTATGAAAAATGATAGATATACAAGATCCATTTCCCAGTGCCATAGGTAGCAAACATGTGGGACGTGCTCAGTGTAGGCAAATGTGTCGTTTTGAGTTCGGAGCGCCAATAAATCGACTAACCATGGGGGTCGCCATTTTCCCAAAATTGTTTGAAACGTTTATGACGTCATCATTATTTGATAAAACGTCACATTCACCAAATGACGTCGCCAGGTTTCCCGCCATTAAATTACTATCTTGGCGGCTTTGATAAGTGACAGCCGACTTCATAAATTATTCTGCTTAGTATACACCGTTGTAAACCATTATTAGAAGAGTGGATTAACTGTTTTATGATATCGTATTAACATGTAATGTATGTAAACCAACTAAAACAGGTTTGCGTTTCGCCACCCACTTTCCCGTTTTCTCCGCTGTTAGCTGAAACTAGGCAGCTGGGAGTCAAATCGCTGAAGATGTTTCCATGGAAATATTTACGTCGATCGCTGTATGTGAATATTATATTTAGAAACTGAACATATGTTTTCTGCACAACATGAAAATGTGTAACGGCATTACACCTGCAGGTGCCTGCATGGACTGTGGTGCGCTACAAATGTATCACATTTCAAACGAATAAGCGATGCTACAAAATACAACGATGGCCTTTTTCAACAGTTATGAAAAAAGCACGCCAGCGTAGCTGCCTACATGCTGGCACAATACGCAGGTGATTCCATAAAATTTTCTAACATGAAAAAGCATTGCTTCTGTACCTCCTTTGTCCCTACGAAAGCCCTGTCCATGACCAACTCCTAAATGAATCCATTCCGAACAAGGACTAGTTACGCCCCTCGTACCCTCAATAACCCGTATTGTGGCCTTTCATGATTGTGAATATGATGTGTCATGCTACTGAAAAAAGTTATATTAACCGAGGCGATATGTCATGATACAACAGCCAATATGCCAATATGCTTAAACAATAAAATGACAGAAATTGAAAATTCTTACAACTATATGTATGTGGATGGTTTGAATGCCAGGTTTTCTGACATATTTTATTGCAGGTTTCCAATTATAAAAAGTTCGGCTACTTGGGACAACAAAGTTTAGTGTTATGCTAAAGAACATGATAACCAGCAATATTTTTAATCATCAAAATATATAATACAAATTTCAGATGTATTGGTATTCATTAAACAGCTCTATATTCACGCAAATATTTACAAATCCATATTCACCGAAAAAACGATATACGTGACTTTTTGAGAACTGGTCGAGTGTGTATAGGATCCGGCCAACAGGATTGTGAGAAAACACCTAATCATGACTTACTGTCAACGTATTTAAATGAAGCAACACGAGAATATTCCGGATCTGAACATTATAAATGTGATTGATATATTTTCATTTTCTGGTATGCAATCTCCTCTTGACTTAGATAGTTCAAAGTCTCTGAACACTAATAAGATTTTTTGTACAATTCTAACTTACTTAGCTTCATTGATTGACAGCAGTATAAAAGGCATCACTTACATGTATGTTATCTGCAACCCTGGAATATGTCATAGCAAAATCGGAGGCACGCGGTTAGCTATTCGATTGTTTTCTGGTAAAAAAACCCCACTATAACCAATCACTAGGGTGATACCTGTCCTTTGAAGATTACAAAGAGCAACACCCGACTTTAAAGTCAGACAATTTTAACCGTTACGCGACCGCGAGATTCTTTTGATGTACATCAAAGGATCGAACTAGTCCACTTATCTAATCAACAAGGTGGCGCACACTGAGCCTTCAAGTTTGTTAAGAAATATTCCAGGGATGCAGAGAGCGTAAGTGAGCGTAACCCCTGGAGTATCGAGGGTGTATAAAGGTAACGCAACTTACCCAATTCCTTCTCGTCTGCTGGATAACCGAATTTCTCGGTAGTGAAGCAAACGTAAAACCAAGCAAACATAAGGATAGTTGTACATGTGCTTCTCTGTTTGTTTGAATGGCAGTCTTTTTATGACAAGGTCGGCCAGAATCTAGTAACCAAGACTATTTCGTATTTGCCGAATATAGATGTGACACTAATTAATTGATCCACAAACAAGGAAGGAACTTATCTATTAAGATACAGACGCGTCCTGTATGTTCTGTCTGCAATCTCAGTTTCAAAGTAACCCATCTCATTATACCCAGAACAGACTTTAGTAGCCTTAAGTTACCAGACTACCGTTGGTGCCAAACCTTGCAACGGTGTCTCTACTCATCAGGCCATGCATTACCCATTATGTCTCTTCTTATAGTTACTGTAGCACCAGCAAATATGTTTCTATTTTTAGTATTTCTACATCCTCCTTCATTGTTTCTATAATCATCGGGCCCTTCAATCGTCTGTCTCTGCGCATCTCTTCCTGTACAACAATGTCTCCCATCTCTTCCTGTACAACAATGTCTCCCATCTCTTCCTGTACAACGATGTCTCCCGTCTCTTCCTGTACAACAATGTCTCCCATCTCTTCCTGTACAACAATGTCTCCCATCTCTTCCTGTACAACGATGCCTCCACTCCCTGGTATCTTTAATATCACCCGTCAACAGTCCTTGCATTACATATCAACTGTGCAACCGACGATCCTTTCTTATGGCGTCTTTAATGACGTCACTATTCGTCATGTCTAGAAATAACATGGTGTCTTTGTTCACAAGATCTTACACTGCCGAATATAACTTCTTTCACCCTTCACAGGTGCATCTCCCGTTTTAGCCGGGAAAGATATGTTTTTAACCCCCTAGTTGGAGATAGCCTCTTAGTGCCGATTAGCACATGTTCAATCGTAACGTTATTAAAATATGTCTCCGGTAATTGTGACGTCATCAAAAGTGAATGGCGATATTCATACCCCACATGTGTTTTTGTTTACAAACATGACAATCTACTGTCGGTTGAGTTGTGACTGAAATAGTAGGATGGGAGAAAAATAATCATCTCCTACCGTGAGAGTGTTACAGAGAAATCGTCAACCCTCGGAGAGATTGCTTTGGTTGTCCAACCCTCGGATAAGACAACCAATTACATCACCCATAAGGAAGGGGATTTCTCTGTCACATCCTCAATATAGGGGAAGATTCTATAAGTCTCCATGTCCACCACCAGCATCACTGACGTGTCTCTGATCATCACAAAGATGTATCTTTCCTGAGGTCCAGTATCGTATGTCACGATGTCCAAAGTCATCAGTCCTTCCATCACCAATCACGATGTTTCTGATCCTCGTTTCCTACATTACACATTACCGCTACTCAACTGGTTCTTAACTCAGGCTATGTACCGATAGTGTCCATACTGATACGAAGTTCCCTGCCTCTAAAAACATGTCTTCACCCTTTTGCTGTTCCACCCAGCCCGTCAATATATTCCTCAATTTCATGCACCGCTTGTCAATGTCTTCATCCAATATCTTTACCATCTGTCTGTCTATGTCTTCACTCATTATCTTTACCATCTGTCTGTCGATGTCTTACTCATTATCTTTACCATCTGTCTGTCGATGTCTTCACTCATTATCTTTACCATCTGTCTGTCAATGTCTTCACTCATTATCTTTACCATCTGTCAATGTCTTCACCCATTATCTTTACCATCTGTCTGTCGATGTCTTCACCCATTATCTTTACCATCTGTCTGTCGATGTCTTCACTCATTATCTTTACCATCTGTCTGTCGATGTCTTCACTCATTATCTTTACCATCTGTCTGTCGATGTCTTCACCCATTATCTTTACCATCTGCATGTCAATGATTTCACCCATTATCTTCACCATCTGCATGTCAATGACTTCACCCATTATCTTTACCATCTGCATGTCAATGTCTTCACCCATTTGCTGCACTGACTGTCAATGTCTTTACCTGATTCTTGCACCACCTGTAAATGTATTCACTTATTTTCTTGCACTGACTGTCAATGTATTCAACTTTTTCTTGCACTGACTGTCAATGTCTTCACCTATTTCTTGCACAATCTGTCGATGTCTCTACCAATTTCCTGCACTGTCAATGTTTACGCCTATTTTCTTGCACTGACTGCACCTATTTTCTTGCACTGACAGTCAATGACTCAAGACTTCACCTATTTCTTGCACCGACTCTTATGATGTCTTCACCTATTTCCTGCACTGACTGTCAATGTATGCACCTATTTCTTGCACTTACTGTCAATATTTTTACCCATATCTTGCACTGACTGTCAATGTCTCCACCTATTTCTTGCACTTACTGTCAATGTATGCACCTATTTCTTGCACTGACCGTCAATGTATGCACCTATTTCTTGCACTTACTGTCAATATTTTTACCCATATCTTGCACTGACTGTCAATGTCTCCACCTATTGTTTGCATATACTGTCAATGTATGCACCTATTTCCTGCACTGACCGTCAATGTCTCCACCTATTTCTTGCACTTACTGTCAATGTTTTTACCTATTTCTTGCACTTACTGTCAATGTTTTTACCTATTTCCTGCACTGACTGTCAATGTCTTCACCTATTTCCTGCACTGACCGTCAATGTATGCACCTATTTGTTGCACTTACTGTCAATGTTTTTACCTATTTTTTGCACTGACTGTCAATGTCTTCACCCATTTCTTGCACTGACTGTCAATGTATTTACCTATTACTTGCACTGACTGTCAATGTCTCCACTTATTTCTTGTACGGACTATCAATGTTTTCACCTTTTTCTTGCACCGACTGTCAATGTCTCCACCAATTTCCTGCAACGCCTTTCAATGTCTTCATCTATTTCTTGTACCACCTGTAGATGTCTCCACCAATCCCTGCATCACTGGTCAAGTTTCTATTCATTTCTTGTAACACGTGTCATGATTCAATGTGAAATAGTCAGCAGGTATGTTTATAAACAACAAATTTCACGGATCCTGTAAATCACTGGTTTTATTATAATAAAATCAGTTGTATCACAGATTCTATGTGGTTATTTCATTTTGACATAGAAAGTCTCCTTCAGCACAGACAAGTTAAAGCACCTAGCCAGTGCCATGTTGTACATAGATAGCGTGTATAAATTAGAATTAAGTGGTTTAATGCGTCAAATAAACTGGTGTTCAACCTCAAACAAACATACAGGCATGTTTTTTGTTATCTAAGAAAATTAATGATGATTATGATTTAAGCTCATGGTTTCTTTCTTCATAATTTCAAAATTCTGTAAATGAAACGAAATTTTAACATTTATCGATAGAAAATACTTGTTGATGTAATGTTGACTTGGACCCTTAAGAATGTAAGGTATGTAGTTCTACATGACTAGATTCACCTTACAACATCCTACAAGAATAACCCTGGATGAAGAGGTCAGTTACTGTTTTTGTATTGAGAACCACAGCAATATAGTTCATACCCTATTTCTTTGCTTAGAAATGTTTAGTACTTACAAATTGACATCCTTGCGAAAATGTTATTTTTTAGAAAATATTTTTTCTTGTAATTTTAATAAACACTAACTATCTCAAAGAAAGCAAGAAGAACCCCACAACCTCCCAGGTAAAGGCAGTACATATGAAGGTGGGTTAATGTTTAAATAACAAAATACTATTTAGATGTCCTTAAACTCTTTTTAGTTTCATATACATATTTCCAGCGACATCTAATGCCTTCAAAGAACTACAATTTCTTGGTTGAACAGTGAAACATCTATCTGATATTTACTGTCAAAATTTTATTTCAAAACTGAAAAACACCAATGCAACTTAAGCAGTTTTGAGGACATCAGACAACAAATATCAACCTTTATGATGTCTTAGATACACTATGATATAGCTATAGGCTGATGAATATCCACATATATCCAGATGTATGAAGAAATTCAGGGTGTATCATTTTACATTCATTTACAACCATATCCTCCCTTGATATACTGACTTCTGGAAAAGCTTAGCATACCAGTATTGCATTAGACTTTGAATCAATGATATTTTTTTTCCACTTTGGTTAAACCACCTAAGAAAAAGATATAAAAGGCCACCCTCAGAAAATATGCACAAAAGTCTCATTATTCTGCTGATAATTAAAAAAAAATCCAAAGCAAAATTAGCAGAGGTTTATACAGTAAGCTATTTTCCATACAGAAAGATTTCTAAACAAGGTTACTAAAGAACCAGTACCACAAACTAGTAGCACTACTTTTATAACAACCCGCTTTGACCATCAATGCACATGTCAAGTTTGGTTGGTCTAGCTCTTATACTTTCAGTGAAACTAACTTAAACGCTAAAACTTAATGTTGATGATGACGCCGTCACCAGAAAAGCAACACCTTAGTCGCGCTCTGCTACTTCGTAGCGGCAGGACAAAAATTACAGATAGTTCATGTAGTGCAGCATATGTCCCTTGTGTATCATTTCATGTATGGAACCAACAGAGTTTAAAGTGATAACAATCCTAGTATCTAGATACAAACTGCTGTAACACACCAGTTTTGGTTACTTCAGCGTATCCATACAGATACAGAGCCTGCATATCAGTACATATATTGCATACCCCATTATTAGAGATGAGCATACCCCATTATTTGAGATGAGAAAATCTGCCCTCCTGCTAGGCATCTTCACATGCATAAACAAAACAGAGACATGTTGGCAGAATTATGTTCACTATTCTTATCAACTTAAATAAATTCAATCCAGTGTCTTTATTTTAATCTTATCTTTCAGAGACACACGTGTCACTCGATCTCTTTCATTCATAACTGACTTGTATTACCATCTGTATCACATCAGTCTGTAATAGCATACATAAACACACACAGAACGAACATCCCACACAATCTTTCTCATAAAAACAATATCAATAATCAAACCCATCCAGCTATACAATTCTCAAGAAAATATTCATGTAACAGCTTCGGGTCATTTCAGATTATCAAAATTAAACCATTTCCTACAGTAGAGTTCACACATATTTCCCTTTTTTTCATTAATATATACTCATTCATACCGATAAGTTTCTACAAGAACACTGCATTACTTCATGAAATGACATATTTTCTGTTGTATTGTACACATTTCAGTAAACATTTGCTACTGACTGTATTTTCCTGCCTGTGCAGACAGACTTATATCACACCAACAACCTGAAAAGTAGCACACATCTGTTCCAGCCTAGGTATTCATTATGATAAAATCCACTGTCTCTTTGCCATTCATAAATAAGTTATGTTCAGCATATTCAGATGTGGGTAACAATTTGCATTAAGACAATGCATCTGCTATTTTTTTTAAATCATGGCTCTCATATTCCAAGAAAAACCCCAACACTTCAACAGCATTATCTGTCTTAAGGATCTGTCTCACTGCCATTATTTCCTATTTACAGTTATCTCCCTTCAACTTCCGTTTGGATGTATCTGTAGCACATTTGGGCTAGTGCACTTCTATTGATCAGATCATTTATTCATTAACAGAGATAGTATAACAATCTGAGGGCCAGTGTTTGAATCCTGGTCTAACCCCGCTGATTTTTTTTACTCAGAATACTCTTGCTTACTATACTGAAGTATACTCTGTGTATTTCATCATTGTTCATGAAAATTCCACAAGGTATGGTTTTCTTTTCGCATATTATTCATCAAGGATATAGTCATGCCGGAAAAAACAGTTTCCCTTAGTTACAGTTTATGGCAGAGGTACTGCGAACCTTTCACAATTTAGAAACCTGTATAAACCAGATAATAACTTTCAGACTGTTCATACATATCTATGTAGGACCAAGATACTGATCAAGCTGATGAGTTCAGTGTAGACAGGTTTTACTGTATTTATAAACTGTCCGTTGCATTAACCAGGAGATAGAGTTACCCTGACATTTATGACAATTATTCCTATAAATAGTCCATATCAAAGCTACTATCATGGTCATCAACAATTTAGCTCCAGCTCCTTCTCCACAATTTGTTTGTATTCGTCAATGCCTCCCTCTAATGCCTCCACGCCTCCGTTCCTTACTACCCATAATTCTTTGCAGACCACCCGTATGAGTCGCTCGTCGTGGGAGACAAGCACAACACCTCCCTGTGAAGAAATTTAGTGGTTTTAAAATTATATTAAAACTTTCTTAAATCTTTGATTAAAAAGAATGCAGGTACCATTTAAGACAGAATACACCATATTTAACTAATGGCCACTCATAAACAAACAATACCTATCCCTTTATTTTTCATGTAATTGTAAACACAAATATTGTTTCGGTAATCGTAATTTAGCACTTTTTTGTTCGCGAGATACTGCACTGAGTTAGGATCGTGCTACAATGTACAGTAAATTAATCATTTTCTGTTACATATTTCAGAGTGTGTTAATTTATCAATGAGCTAATCGGTTTTCAATAATGTGCTAAATTTTGATTGTGCTAAAGCGAGTGCATTTACAGCATTTTTAGAAATGTAACCCCATTACCTAAGATCATAATCAATGAACAGACTGAATGATTTAACAATAATGTTAAAATTTAGAAGAAAAAAAATGAAAATGGGTGTCGTGTCATAACAAAATATTTTTTAATTTCTCACATTGCCCAACACAAACAGTGGTTTAATCTTGATTTAAACTTAAAACATATCTTTGACTGAAGTTTAAAGATATAACTAAAATGAATCAAATCTAATTGAAAAAGCAGAGAATTAGTGAAAAGATATGAAGGTGAGCAACAAGTGTACCTACCTGGAATTTAGATAATGCAAAACCAAGGGCTTCTATCGTCTCCATATCCAAATGATTTGTAGGTTCGTCAAGAACGAAGAAATTAGGGCTAAAAATGACAGTGAAAGTTGCATGATTTTTTTAATTCAAAACATCACATTTCTACTTGATATATATTTGAAACAAGGAGTATCGGCAATCAATTAAATGGAAGAAAAATATATAACTTAAATGATTAGGACACAATTGTAGCTTCTGATGTAATACTTCAAAAATTGTTCCCTTGTTAGATAAGGATATAGACAGATCAAATGCCATAAGTGATAAATATAAACTCTATTTATTGTACAACAATAGACAGATCAAATGCAATAAGTGATAAATATAAACTTTATTTATTGTACAACAAGTAGCTATTTAAACATGGTTTTCCAACTGTTATGAATCCTTCATGTTGGCTGCAATGGAAGCTTGCAGAGAGTCCTAATGTGGGAGGAAATCGGAATACCCAGAGAAAACCCTTATGGTCAGGTAGGTGGCCCCAATACCTTTTCATGTGTCACCCTGGAAAAATACTAGCCGCTTCCTACTTATACCGATTCAGCTATAGAGAATTTCTCTTTAGCTCTTTCCGTAGAGCATAAGACTAGGGGCCTGTTAGTTTATGCGGAACAATTAGTTTGTCTGTTTTTAAATGTAAAAATTCTGGGTATAAATCCTTGCGGTCCTGCAAGGCTTTGTCAAGGCTCGCCTGAAAGTAGCATCAGATTACTAGGTCCGACCTTATTTAATAAACGAACAACTGTGGTCCGACCTGTTCAACCGTTGAAACAAAAACGGCCTAGTAAACTAGAGGGTTCAACTTCTAGCAGAGGCAATGAAAAAATAATGACCTCTGTTATAGTTACATATGCTAAAGAAGAATCAAAACCGGGCAGTCTTGATGAATGGCAAGTGATCTGACCACTGCACCACCTGACCACCTCAAGTCATGTGAGGTAAGAAAAGTGAACTAATTCTGAGCTGAAAAATATATACAGGTATGTTCCCTCAGAATAAGTGTTACATCAAGCCTGTATTTGGACTGTATTAGCCAGTAGGATCAATATCTCGTGCCAACTTGACTCCCAGTACATGTATTAATAACACTGTTTTCCTACTAGACTTCCAGTATAGTAAAAATCACAATATCTCCGGTCTGCCAGACTCAGTATAAACACAGCATAAACAACAGTGAGGCACTTGTACGCCAACTTACTTCTTCATGGCAAGAATAGCAAATGCGACCCTTGACTTCTGACCTCCGGAGAGACTGGACACAGGTCGTAGGGCTAGGTCTCCACTGACACCATACATCCCCAACTTGCCTCGGTACACCTCTGAGTTCAGACCTAGTAAGAAACGGAACGGCAAAGAATGTACAAGGGTGTTAAAAGTCCACTAACCTGATGCCAGGGGCAGTATATTTTATCTTAAGGATTGTCAAAAATTTTAAAATTTACTATAAAAATATAAATCAGGCTAGCAAAATTTTTCAAAATCATCTTGTTGCCTTGTAATATCATTTAAAACTGGAAAGTGTACACCCCTTACAAATAGAATAAATTTAAAGCAATGGAGTCAAATGTTATCACATCAAACAAAATATACAGGTTATCAACCTTTTGGAAGACAAAATAATGGTTAAGGCTTCAATTACCTTGATCAGAAATCCTTTCATGTGTTTTATCTCCATTTTTAAAAACAGCTACTTCCTGAACCAAAAATTCAATCTCAAACTGTTTATCTTCTTATTTTAGAAATGATCACAAGAATTTTCTGTAATGGGAAGTACATATTTTGAAAAGTTCACAACTTCCTTGGTACTGAAAGATTTGGTACTGAAAGAAAAGCAACCATCAGGCTCTATATCTAAAAGATAGATAAATAATTTGTTAAAAAATCAGCAGGATGAATATTTACCTGGGAATCGCTCAGCCATCAGTTCTAATGAGGACAGGTCCATAGCCAGCTGGTCCACATGGTGCTGACTAAAGTAGCCAATGGCAAGGTTGCGGTGTACATGACGGACTCCACTCACAGGGTCAAGATTTCCTAACAAGATCTTCAGCAATGTGGTCTTACCAGCACCATTCTCTCCAACCTTAATAACACAATACAGTCCACTGAACAAAATGCAATCGGTCAATGCAGTCAACGTCTATTAACATAAAATGTTTAATTGACTCAATAATTTGAGACAGAAATTCCTGATTCAGAATATCTTGGAAGTTGTAACATATACGTCATCAAATGAGATGTCACTGTACTGATTTAAGACAATATGTGATGTCACGACTATTGTTAAACTGTTAAAGTTGGTTGCCTTTACCATAGAAAGTGTTGTGTTTATTTATGACTTTGTTTACACATGAAGGGTTGCTGTATAAGGAAACACTTACAATACAAATTCTGGACTCCATATTGGCATTTACACATATACTGTTGAATATAACTTTCTCCTTTGTGTAGTAGAATTTCAACTCGTCCAACATCAGAATAGGGGGAGACAACTTCTCACATTCAGGGAATCTGAAAACAAAAACACAAATACATACATGTATTGTGCTCAGTAACAGTATGTGAATATAGCCTCTGCTATTTAAATTATGAGATGCTTACTGTATAACATGAAATGTTCAGTTTTCGTGGAGGCTACGGAAGCCACGAAATAAAATACAACTAACTTAATTGATATACTTGACAAATTTTTGTTGATATGGGGGTGTCCACGAAAGTTTGTACCACGAAACTATCTAAATGGCTTCAAGCCAAAAGAAAGAAAATACCCACAGATATTTCATGTTATACAGAGTAAGTAATACATGAGGCATTTCCTGATATTATACATATTATGAAAATGTAACTTTTTTTCAGGGCATTTCTGATCTTCGACAAATTAGCACATACAGATTATGTAAAACACATAGCATGACATTGTACTCACTTGAACTGGACTTTCGTTTCTTTTTCCACAGGTATAAGTTTGGGTCTGAAAACAGATCAATGAAACAATTGTACATTCACTTCTACCAGACTGAGCACACTTGGTAAATATGGGGAATGCTTTTAGATTTACATACTAAGAATAGTATTTTTTTCCACATTAAAGTGGCAAAATATTGACAAATTTCTTAAAACTGGACTTTTGTGTAATTGGTTATGTTTGCTTGGTTATTTTTACCAGCTATTTTACACTTTAAATATATAACTTGGGGCATTTATTTCAAAATGTTTAAGATGAGATATGATATAGAAACTTTATATTTCAAATTCTTTTTTCTTTACAAGGTACAATGTATGTAGGTGGATAATGTGTTATTTGGAAATGATAAAGCCTTCCATCTGCTACCTTATGTGGCTCGTCTAGGTTGTTAAAACACATGATGTTCAAGTTTTACTACTGACATCATGCCTACTGATTGTGGGCAGGCTATTTATGCGCCATTTCAATGATGGACTAGGTTTGGCTTTTATATTGCTTTTTTATTTTTGACAAATATACTTACAATTTTTCTAATATCTTTAATTTACTTTGGACTTGTGAAGCACGTTTGGCATTGTATCTGAACTTATCGATGAAAATCTGGAAAAGAAAGAGGATACAAATGTGGTATGACTAATAAATCTACAAGAAGCTTCAACTATGGTAAATCCAATTTTCAAATTTTCAGGTTAATTCGTGATGAGTTTAATTCATGAACTTAAATCTTAAGATTCCAAAACAGAGTAAACTTTAAAATAGTGGCATATCTATACAAATGCCACTCACGGTTACCCAAACAATACCTGCATTAAGTGACGGCTACATTTTTTCCATTTCATCCTTATTTTTATTACTTTTGTATGTTGTCAGCCTGCTTAGTTATAAATAAACTAATTGACTGTTACTATTAAAAATAAATGAGAGCAAGAACCTATTTGGTATTTGTTCTTAGGTGTAATCCTGTTTAGTGTGATTTACCTGTATATGATCACGGTACTGTTGCTGTGCCTCGAATTCCCTCTGCTGGGCGAGTAACCGCTCTTCTCTAGTCCTGTGAAACACCTCATAGTTGCCTCGGTACGTGTCTATCTTCTGGTTGCTTAGTGACAATATGTCAGTGGCGACAGCATTAAGGAACAGGCGGTCGTGAGACACGACTAACATTGTGGTGGCCCAGGTCTAAAATACACAGCAAGTTCAGCATCACAGCATCATCATAAATTGTACTCAATATGAAGGATTCGGTTTTATAAGTTATTGACTGTATATATTGAACTTTGAGCTACTGGTACTAGAAGTGTAAGCAAAAGGCTAACTTAAATAAATCCCACTCATCCATTTGTATGTATAGCTGTGAAACTACATACCTCAGTATGAAAGTACTTATAACATTAGGACCTCCTTTCTAAGCAGCTGAATAATATCTGATGAGGGGCTGTATAGCTAGTTGTCCCTCAACTGTAATGCTCCAAGCATAAACAAGCGACCAATTGTCTCATCTCTAGGGACATTATAAAAGTCCTCATCGTTTAACACATTTTAACAGGTGACCATGTTTATGCTGCAGAGCATTTCTACAGGAAAATGGGATTCGCCACATCATCCCTATGACAATTTTCAGTGTTTACCCCAGGAGATCGTTTCATGTTCTTAAAAGTCACACACTTACCACCTTTGAAAACAACTCATAACTAGAACTATTACAAGAGTGGAAGACTTATATGTGTGCACAAAAAGCTCTAGGAATACTTCTTTGATAACATTTTTAAACGAAAGGGCATAACTCTATTATAAACAGGAGAGGTAACTGAGAGAAGTAAAATAATGTTTTTAAACTAAGGGGTATAACTCCAATAAAAGATAGCCGGATCAAAATATTAATCAGAGGCACACAACTTTGCAGTGTGTTGATCATGACTGCATCGGTGAAGTATCAGGAAACTCAGCTGAAAACTGTAGGACTTGTGCAGACAATATTGTGTTGGCTAGTTTCTGTGAAAAGGGGCATATCACCCATAAAAATGGATGGCTAGAAATATTAATCACAGGTGCAGATTTATGAAATTTGACTGTTTTGACAAGATTGTGTCTGCAGAAGTCTGCCGACAGATTGACAGACAACCCCGTTCCATTATACCAACTTTGTTGCAGGGAGTATGAAAATACCAGCATTATCTAGATTTGGGTATAAATTGCTCACCTGTAAGTAGTTTTCCAGCCATATGATGGCCTTCATATCCAACATGTTAGTAGGTTCTGTAAAACAGGAGAAAACACATAACAGCTACTTCAGACATGAATATAAGATCATGAAGGGGAAGGAGGGAATAACAGCTGGGCCCTGTTCGTTTATGCGGAACAACAGGTTTGACCGTTTATAAATGTAACGATTTCGGGTATAAATCCTGGCAGACCTGCAAGGCTTTTTGTCAAGGCTCGCCTGAAAGCAGCATCAGATTACTAGGTCCGACCTTATTTAATAACGAACAGCTGTGGTCCGACTGGTTTGACCGTTTAAACGAAAACGGCCCTGGCTGTTGAGATAAGTTGTAAGAACATGCACGTGTAAAGGAGACCAAGATAACCCAACAGCTGATAGAGGATATCATAGCTTGCCCATCTGAAGAATATTCGAAAATAAATAGTTAAAAGGCCATGGTTAAGTGACTTACATGTCACTTTTCATTTTAGAAAATGCCTTAATTATTACACAAAATCTAATATACACAGACAAAATTGGTTCACGTGAATTTCACCTGAAACAAGCTTATACATGAAATTCACGTGAAATTTTTCACGTGAATCTCACAAGATAAATCCATGTGAATTGAGATTTCATGTGAATTTCATGTGAGTTTCATGTAAAATTCATGTGAAGTTCAAATGAAAATTTTGATGTAAAATTCATGTGAAAAATTCATGTGAAATTCACGCGAGTTTCATGTGAAATGAGATTCACGTGATATTCAGGTGAACAAAATTTGCCTGTGTATAAGCCTTAATAATGGATTTTGATCTATCCTTCTGGTTGAAAAGCCCCATTTTTTTTTTTTAAATAAGCACTTGTTATGAACACAAATACATAGGCACATTCTCTACTACAGGTTTTGTCTACTTACCATCAAGTAACAGTAAGTCTGGCCTAAAAAATCAAATAATGATAAATTGCTTTAAAAGATATATCAATGTGTTGTAATAAACAGCTAGGAAATGGTTATAAATAAACATCATGAGTTGATAGCATCCAACTTAGGTTCAATAAAACATCTGTTCAGGCTTTAAGCGAAATGCATCATTATCAGTCATATTGAAATGAAATATTAAAATATTGGAATTGGAAGAAGAGAACAATTTTTTTTGAACTTTTTCGTGAATGCAACACCAATTAAAATTATTTGATTATTTCTAGAATCATTGTACAGTAGACAAGGATGACTTTTTAACCCTAATACACACTGTACTGTGTCTGGATTTTGAAGATTACATAAACTCGATCCGAGGCTGAATGTGATCATTTGTAATCAAACAGAGCCTACTGATGATTTAATCTTATCTACAATCATTCTACACTAAGCAATGAACTGATATACACAATATTATGGGGGTTTTTTGTAGATAATTTAAAAATAGGTTTATGTACAGCGCAAGACAAACAATGACAGACATAAGACAATCATAATTTAGTATCTAAAAAGCCAAAGAAATTATTTGGAGTAAATAATAAGGTTATGGTAAGAATACTTATAAATAATTATCTTCCACATTGGAAACATTTGTGCAGAATCTAAACAAACTTCACATGCTATTTTCAGAAAGTGACAGCATTTCTTACTTTGAAAACAGTGCCCTTGCCAAAGCTAATCTCATTCGCCAGCCTCCTGAGAATTCTCTGCAAATAAAAAGTTATATTGTATGCATCGTTTGAAAATGGGGAAAGTTTTTAATTTCAAGGGTTGTATAGATTCTCATGTACTTCACTCTATGTGCCATTTGAAACATGAAATACTGCAGTTTAAAGAACTAATTTTGGCAGTTTTGATTTTGTGTCCTTGGTCTCATTACTTTGGTTGTCAAAAACAAAGTTAAGATTATGTTAAACTTTAAACTAGAAAATGTCTGTAAGACATGAATGCCCCAGTCACCATGTGAAATTAGATTCAGTGTTTGATGTTTGACGGGACAGGACAGGACGGACATGGGCAACACTATATGCCCCCCCCCCCCCTATTTTATGGCAGGGGCATACAAATGTCTGTTCCTAAATTTTACATAGGCAAACAAGGATAAAAAACAAAAGTAGTAGGTTAATGAACCTACCTAGATTGAAAAACATTATTGTGACTTGGTTCTTTTACAGTAATTTTGGAGAACACAAAGCTATGTTGCCACTTTTGCTTACTTTGTAGGTGCAGCCTGCATTTTAGGCGTGAATCCTAGACCAGCTAGAATGACACCTGCGCGGGAAGGTGCTTTGGCAGCATCCATAGCTTCTAATTCGTGGTAAATCTCTGTAAGTCGTGACGACAATTCACCGTCAGATTTTGCAGTACTTGTAGACAGTTTATTTGAAATATCTCTTTCCTCCTGAAGTAAGCCCTCTCTCTTGACATCACACTCCAGCACACTCTGTAGTGCCACTGTTTGGTCACCGTGAACTTCCTGTTCCACATGTAGCACTGATATATGGGAGGGAATCTTCAGACTTTTCCTGCGAGTATAAACAAACACAGTCAACCTTTTTCCCAGGTCACCTATGCTAAAATTATTTCCCAGTGAAAATTTACATCAATTGTTCATCACTAGAACTCATTGATTTAGTTTTCAAATGGCTTTTTGCTTTAAAGGACTGATGATATGTATAACTTAACATAAAGAAAATCATACACTGCACATTATATTTAATCAGTTTATACTTTATGCTAATTTTGCACTGGGAGAAACATAAAAATATCATCTAAGAACCTCATCTTACTCAAATAGAGAAAATGTTTCAATATCAACCGCATTTCATTCTAACATGTGGCTGCTGACCAATCAAACCACAGAATGCTAATTAATTATGTAAGGATTGCTTATCTTTCTACTTAGCCTTAGTCTTTGTTTATCATATATGCTTATCAAGTAACATCAGCTGACTATCTTTCAGTGTGAATGGACGGATGCTCTCTATATCATAATATGTCCTGTAAAAAATGTTGACAGGTCTCTTAAAACTAGGACAAAGTGCAACAGCAAAGAGACTTACTTGGCGATCATTCTTAGCAATGTTGTTTTACCGAGACCATTTCTCCCAACAAAGCCATATCTTCTCCCGGCCAAGAGCTGTATGGATGCTCCCGTGATCAGAACTCTGTGGAGAAAGCAAAAAATCAACTTTACTCATCCTAAGCTTGCTACTTTGAAATACATTTTCCATTACCCCAGTATGAACCAAGCATCTGAATTTCTGTTAACACCACCAATAAAATGAACTTCAAGACGACATGCGCCAGACCAAAAAATACAAGGCTCAAGTATAGCTTCATCTTCTTTAGATGGAATTTCGAAAATCCAATAAGATGTATTGGCTCATAGCATCAAGAAAAATATAAATCATCTTTGAGCAAGATACTTTACTCTGCTTGTTCCAGTCTACTCAGCTGTAATTGAGTAGGTGGGTGGGCAGTGCTAAAATTGTTGAATGCTAGCTGTGAGCGCTGAAATGGCAGCAACGGCTGTATGCTCCCAGGGAGTTGAGAAAGATATTGGCTGCTTGCAAAAGCCCTATGCGGATAATAATTTGTGAACCCCTTTAAAACGCCCCACGAACTAGGTTGTGATAAAGCGGTATATAAGAACCTCAAATTATTATTATTAAACATGTTGGAACTAACTTCATTTCTTAGACGGCTAAGATTTTATTTTATGTTTCAACAAACATAACTCTATTATTACTTAAAGAGGCTGGTCGGGGAAAAAATTACAAAATAAATGGGTCTAAATGCGTTCTCTGGCCTTCCAAAAGTTATACCATGGCAATATGACGGTCGAGATCTGCTTGCAATGTCCAGTTTTGACCACTGAAATCTCGGGGAAGCCCCGCGTAAATTTAGTGCAGATCTATTTATATATGTCAACTGGTTGTTTCGAAAGTGAGGCAGTGAATATAACAACAATAGCACGCCGTCTAACAGCAATGTCGGACTCAAATAGCGGACAAGACAGCAATACTATACGTAAATAATTGGTTTCAAAGGTCATGTATGATGCAAGTGTAGTATTCCTACCTACATTTGTATATGTTGTTTTTATATATAACGGTATTGATTCCTCGTGCCTGTCATGACTTTTGCATGCATCTTTTTCTTTCGCCGCGATGTTTACATTTGGCCTTGTTGATGACGCGCATGCGGTAAAATTACATCACTGATCTGGGTCAATTGAGAGTTTTAGACTGTCAGGTGACGCTTAAGGATTTCTTTAATATAATTATAATTTTTACTCTTAGGGAGTGAATTTTAGCAAAATTTGTATCAGTATATTTCATAAGAAGGTATTTTAAACATGTGTATGCCATTTTAGCAAATATGACATTTTTTCCCCGACCAGCCCCTTTAAGTGCAAGAGAAAATCAGGATTTTGTAGTCTGACCAAATTTAAATTTTCACAATCACTTACTTTTCTCCAAATGAAATATCAAAGTTGTCAATTTTGATGTCATATGATCTGTTTGCTCCTGAGGCATCAAACTTGACATCTTTTCTGTTAAATTGTTGACTTGCACTGGCTTCATCATGTGCCCTGAAAAAAAATATACAATCAGTGCAAGTATATCACTGTACACCATAACTAAAACAAAATTAATCTGTTTGTAATTATTAAGTAAAGATTCACATCAGATTGTGTCCTCCTTCGACTTGGAGTATTCTCCATTGTATGTTAAAAATTATGCAATAGGGGTACCTTCCTTTAATTGTGTTCTAGTGGTTAATTGTTTATGAAATAGGGACAGATGTATTCAGCTGGGTTCGTTTTTCTGGCAAGCCTTAACATTTGCAGATACCTCACATTTTATTCTTGACATATTAACATTTAAAAGTAGGTGAATCAGTTTGTCTGCACAAATGAAAAAACCTGGGCCCCTGAACTTAATGATACTTCAACATATTCATCTTATATTTTGATACTATGCATTTATAACTCCTGTATAGCAACACTGTCAAAATGTAGGGTTGACAGTGGATAGACGTTAAGTTTGCCCCTGGAATTTCCGTTTTTCTTTTCATATTTTTCTATGTCCAAATACTCAAAATGAAATTTCAAGTGTAATTCTATAAAATGCAACACAGTATTTTTTTTTTTAATTGAATACATAGGTAAAAATTGACTTTTAAACGAATATTTCGTAATTGCTAGTGGTAGCAAAATATTTTAACATTATGGTACTATTCAGCATAATACAAAACATATCTCACAGAGTTCAAGTTCTGTATTGTATCTCCATTTCAGAATAACAGAATAATCCATTCACACATTCCTTTTTATTTATCAAAGAAATTAAGATTATAAAAGACATTGAACAAATCATAGGAATTTTCTTTTCTAAAACTGCCTTAAAAGTCTTTAAAGACAGTAAAAGTTACTATTTCAGAAGGCGATGAATCATAACATCAAGTCTTACCCATTTGCCTTTGGTTTTGGTACAGGTACTTTCCGATCTTTGTTTTTTAGGAGTTTTGCTTCTGCCTTTTCAAGTTTTTTCGGATCAACTTGCTAAAACAGAAAAATGAAGTTATCAATTTAAACAGCTCTGACAGATTATTTTGTTTTTTGAACAATTATATACCTGTACATTGAGTTTTTGTTTGTTATAAACTAGGTCTATATATAGTTCTGAAAATAAATAACATACAAAATTTTCATATTTCAATAATTGCCCTCAAATGAGTTAGTAGCAGGGAACAAAAGCATAAAGCTCCATAAGAATGTAAGTATATCAGATTGAAATACTGTTACAAATCTTTGAGACAACAATTTGTTATTTTACACTAAAACATTTAAATACAGTCAACCATCTATTTAACAACCACCTAAAGGAAATTCAAAACTGCTCTCTAAATAAAGGCAGTTGTTTAATTAATATAATATAATGTGGTTTAACACAAATTTTACATTAGACACAACCAACCAACTTTTTATTGAGACAACTGACCCCACCATAACCTGGACAGTATTCATCAATACTGGCAGATATTGATCTGAGTAATTGACATTCTTGTTTCAGCACATCAATAGATCTGATATGTTGATTTTGTCAAAAGCAGTTGTTGGATTTTGTCAAATTTGTCACTAAAGACACCATCTTAGATCTTGCCAAATATGACAGGTAGGTTCTACTATAAGATTTGAGGCTGCAAGCTATAGTCTAACGTTCTGTTGTCAGCACAAAGTTAGATCTATGACATGTGGATTTCGTCATAAAGCAATATTTTGACTTTGTCTAATTTGCAAAATTTTCATTGAACATACTTGAGATGGACAATAAGTGTAGCCCACTATTCTGAGACTAGTGACATCTCCAACTGGACTAGTGGTTAGAGACTGTTAGCCTGAGTAGTAAAAAAAGTATACTACTTATCATATTTAATAATATCAGGATATAGGAATTTGCACATGGACATGCAAAATGGGAAACTACTTACTTCACTAACTTAGATTAATTTCTAGCCCTGGAGCTATCCGAGATTTTGTCAAACATGATAGATAGGTAACCCTATAACATAAGAGGCTTCTAGTCTAATGTCTACTGATATCAAATGCAACCTCTCGGAAGTATTTTGCCATTAACACCTAACATTGTTGAAGTAGAAAATTTGGTAGATTTCATCCGAAGGGATTGCTGAATTTCATAAAAGCGGTCAGTTAACATGAATCATAGGGTGTGTATCGTGAGTGATGCTGCGATACCATACGCATCACGATACTCAGGTCGTGATACGATACGTATCACGATATCCGGAACTTTTATCAGGCGGGTGTATAATAGGTACCATATAAATAACATTATATAACGAAAAATACTATGTACACATCATTCAATTCTCGTATAACTTCACTGCTGGCTTGAATATAGTGTGGGAGGGTAGGTTGTTTACTTCTCACATTTGTATTACTTTGTTAAGTCTAATTGTTGTTTATGATTTAGAGACAGGGCTCTGTTACTTTCTGTGTTATTCACCCTTATGTAGGGTAGGGCTTTTCGTTCAGTGTAGGATTCCTGGCGATCAGCTGCTACGATACCGGTGCTGAAATCTGTGTGTTTACACTTTTGAGACGGCCGGAAGTGGGTGATAGTAATAACAGGAATAGGTTCCCGCTCCTTGCTCAGATGCTTTTAGATGATGAGGCTGGGTTCGAGATTAACAGTTGATCACTCATCTTCGAGGCTATTTGGTGGGGGGAGCAGGGGGTATTAAACAGCGGGTCTGGGCGGGGACCAGTGTCTTGACAGGGTCGGTGAGCCGACCCACTTCTCCTGGTGAGGAGAACATTACCGCCTCATGCGCTGTTAACAGTGCAAAACATGGGCCGAGGTGCTGCTAACAGTACCAATACCGTAGGACTACATGAAGTTATCGTTCCTGGGATATATAGAGTGCTATAGGAACTACAGTACATGTATTAAGGGATAGTCAGGGGCTTCGGGCTAAGACATCGATACATGGTGGTTCGCTGTAGAACAATAGGGAGCTAGGAGCACGTGGTCGTAGTCTACTGGTAGTACTGTTAGGTAGGATAGGTCATTACTCTACGTAGGGATTGGGTTTCTTAACATTAGTTGTCATTGTTTGGCACTAATGCTATGCTTTGTATTTGTTAAACTTGTTGTATATAATCATTTCGTCTTGTTAATAAACAGTTACTTGTATTTTATACCCATTGTTGAGTTATTGAATCAATGGCTGGTATTACCACTACATCCAGCGATCGAACCTGTAGTGAAAACAGGTCTGTAACCTGACGAAAGAGGCGAGGTCTAGAGAGGACTGCAGGGGAAGTTGTCGACTCGTTACCATTGCTAAAAACTATACGATCACGAAACGGATTTAACGGAGTGACAACGGATGCAAAACCCTCTCCGGACCTCCCCCTATTACAATATTAATAGAATTATACTACCCGAAAAGGAGTGAATATTGAGGTTCTAGAGTGTTTATCAATACCTTAAAATCATAATTTTCAACAACTGATAACGGACGAAGATCATTGGCAATGTGTTTACCGATAGCGGTCGAAAATGGTTTTGAACAAAAACTGTCACATTTCATCTTTATTCCCCAACATAGAAGTAAGACTTGCTTGTTTTGCATTTCTTTTTAACGTTAAAGACGTGTAACGTGACTTTTTCTTCTAACTGGCAGGTAAAGATTGAAGTATTGACGATTTATATGCATGTTCACATTTGTGGTATTTCCCGCATATTTCAGTTTTCTCCGACATTTGTTGCAATAAAAGAACAATGTGTCTGCCTAGAATACATTATTTTTGGATTAAGCATATTTGAAAGTAAACCATTGCGAGATAGGCGACTTGAAATGTTCAAACGACTTGACGTATTCCTCGTCATCTTCTCTATCCGCCATTTTGGTTTGTTGAGTGCTAAAACTATTTTTTCTTTGAAGAGTTCCAACAAGGGACAGTACAAAATTAAAAGTAACGTAGGTATCACGATACAGTCTTGCCGCATCGGTGCATCGTATCGTGTCTATTGCGTTACATGGATGCATCGGTGAATCGTTACACCCCTACATGAGATCAGATCTACACATCGGTCACTGGGTGCCTTAGACATAAAAATCATAAGAGAAAATGGTTGGGAGGAATCAGAAGTCGTCACACATAAGACTTCTTATGTGTGATGACACATAAGAAAGTGGTTGCTTAATATGACAGGTGGTTGCATAATTAGGTTTGCCTTGATTTGAAAAATTCCCCAAAAAGATGACTTGGGTGATTAAATGTGACAATACCGATGCATTTTCTTTCTTTGCAATCCATATACTGCTGGTTTCTGTTGATGTATCCTCTTCTTCTAGCAATGACATTTGAACTGGGGCAATCAGCATCCTCTTGTGGGACTGCTCTGGGGATATATTGTCCCGAGACCTATACATCACAAAGCACAAGTTTCAGTTTATACGACTCCCAAACCTGGTCCCTAGTTCTCAAAACAGAACGTTAAGTCTGGAATTGTTCATCAAATAACACTATCTTAAACTTGATATTGTTTCAAGTAATATACAATAAGTTGTTCAATTAGTTTACATGCATTTGCAAAAAGTCGTGTATATTTAATTTGTGACCATCAAATTATTATTTTGTTCATACCCATTCATGATATTATACAGCCTCCCACATATATCCTTGATGTCATCCTCAGATTTATTCTCATCTGTCTGTAAAAGCATGATTCCAATGGCCTCAAACAAGTCATCGGGTGTATTGAATTCATCATTTCCATCTTCAAGCAGGCCTATAAATAATACACAAAAGCTCTATATTGATTTTCGTGTTGAAAATATTACAAGAGTTAACGTTAAAAGTGAAACATTCAATGTCTCCATGCTATGCTCCCCCCAAGACGGTATACATACTATTCCATGCATTTGTAGGCAATACCTAACTCATATCTGTGACTGTTTGAGTTATCATCAATTTTCACGTGTCCGTGTAGCAAGATGTGTAAAAAAATATTTTAATCACTCAATGCATATCCTACAAACTCAATCTCATTTTACTTCTCCCAAACAATCATTCCAGTATACGTCAGATAATGTAATACGTAGGCCATTTACAATAAATGAAAATAAATTTCCAAGCGTTATATTTTTTTTTCTGTGTAGACGCCGTTCAATTCTTACCAGAACAAGTTTGTAGTAGGACCAGGAAAAATGATAAAGATAGTGCTGTCGCTGGAGCTCAAACCCGCGACCCTTGGCTTTCCAGCCCGATAATCTACCGCTGAGCTAAAAGGAAATTACCTGTACAGCTGACGCTTGTAAGGCAACCTAATCAATGCACATCTTTTACAAATTGGCAAGACAAATAGAACGTAGAATTATATTAATTACAGCACCGTTACTGCGTTAGTCGCATCATTTACCTGATCATGTAAAACAACATTCTCAAACGTTTTTTTCGGCAAGAAAACTAAGGTTGTTAATTCAAGATCTAGTAAACATTTTTTTAGTATGAACGGAAAATCCGTCCAGCAGCCGGCATCATAAGCCAGATCATCTGTTGCGTTGTGCAATACTCAAAACAGTGTAAGATGTTGACGGATTTAAAGGCGATTTTGAATGAAAATCATCATCAATTTTTATCTTATTTGTATATAAATATATCACATATCACTTCCCATACACCAGTCTGATTTACCATTTACATAATCGACGATTTCTGTGTCAATAGATGGAAAGCACTCTGTCAGAATAGTTCCATAGGCCGCCATGCTGTCATATCATAATCTCTAAACAAAATTGATCAGGCAAAATCAAATTACTATTGTTTTAAAAACAAATCAATTATGCAATACATTTCATCTATATTCCATTTATTACAATGTTCAACCTATATTAGTGACTTTTGTCTTTTAATTGACAAAAAGAATGAATTTATTTCAATATTCGTTTTATTGAAGAGTAACAACCGGTTCAAAGTGCATTCGATTTGCTAAATGGGAAATCGGGATAGGTTTGCCGATGTGTGTTGTATCTCGTTCTACATTATAATCTACTAAGTCGCCTGCTTTTCATAAAAATTACATTTGAGAAGTTTCTTAGATTTGAAAAATGTTAGCCAATATCTTAAAAAGTAAAATCTCCCGAACCAAATATCACCGTTATTTCTTCGAACGCGACTGTAAAATAATCACTTCCTGGGTCGCTTTCGTTTATCCGGCTCAACCGTTTCAGTTGGCTCAACATGAATTAACAATATGAAGATACCACGTATCTTGGTCGATGACTCGCAATAATGTTGAAAAATCGATTTATCAATAAACCATTATTGATATTTGAAAATAATTATAAATGTTTCAAAATTAATACGCTATAAATCGATCATCAAATATGACGGTTTCCATTTTTAACATTAAAAATACTTCTTATAATGTTAACAAATATATATGATACCTTCTGATGTTTTGAATGATCAGTTCTTACTAGTTATATCACAAAATGTTTTTTTTTTTTTTTATATTAGGCCTATAACTTTATTTTGATTGACGTTATTCGCGATATTGGTGACACGTTTAACGAAAAAATGACGTCGTATTTATACGTTTTATCATATTTTGCATTATTTTGTATGAACCCATTGTACGCTACCGTGTGGACAAAGAAAAAGGATCAACTTGAGATGATACACTTCTTTTTTAAACATCATTGTTTCGAAATAAATAAAGTTTAAAAACTGTCCGGAATTAGGCGTGGAAGATAGATGTGGAGGGGTGGGGACCGGGTTATATTCTCATAATCGTTTTCGTCGTTTAAGAACCTGTCGGCTGTCCAATTTTTAGATTTTTGCTGTATATACTAAAAGATAAAAAGTATCAACGTCATATTTCTGTTGTTTTTACTATAATTCTACAATTCTATTTATAAACAAAAAATGACTTTATCCACGTAGTGTTTCAAAAACTGTGAAGATGCATTAAAATTAACTAGAAATGATAAAATAGCCTCACGATTTCTACTGATGTTGGCACTCAAAATGTTGCGCAACGTTATCCCCGTTACGTCGCCTTAGTGGGACATTTTATGGAAATTGAAAAGATTTTTTCATTATTGATCCAATAACAAAAGTGAACAGAGTTCCATTCTATTAGTAGTTACACATATTCATCAGGATATTTTTTTTTATTTCATATTACTATTATGCGTCAACAAAGTTTCAACTTATGCAAAATGTAAGTCAAAACACAACTACTGGACATATTTCAGAATTTTAATCCGTTTTAATTTTCTTTCAGGTAGATTGTTTTCTTTGTTGAATATCTTACAATAGCCTAGCCCCGGTCAAACGTATTCAGCTCCCTACTGGGTAGGCGTTACATTTTGTTCATATATATATAGCTGTTTGGAGAAGATTTTGTTAAATATGCCGAAAACTAATTAATCCCAATGAAACTTTTAACGTTATTTGCGACGTTATTTCTGCTTCCGTAGATCTTGTTCTAAACTGTCTGCATGCTTTTGGCGCGAATTATTGCAATTTCTTTGAAACGTCTGATCCCGAAAATGTTACGCGTTATTGTGACGCTTCATGAATTTGGTCTGCAACGTTTTCTAGGTCAAGGGATGCTTCCAGTATACTATCACGCCATCCCGTACCCATCTGAAGAATGGAACACAATATCTAATGCTACAATATATACATATAGCTCACACCGGGTATACCGATGTATGAACGCAGAAACAAATTTATCAAGGATGGAAAGGTGAATGGAAGTTACTAAAAGTTATTGACAATGATCTTTATTTCAGTTCATTTAAAAACTACTTTCAAGAAAGATATTTAGTGTACATACTAGTGAAATTTCGAGTTGAAAAAGCATTGTTGAAGTTATTTGATGCGTCACTTTTAACACTGATGATTTTCGGTAAGATTTAACTTCGTATTACTGTAGCAGAAATATAAGATTGTTACGTCAATTAACTTTGTCAACGTCTCGATAGTAGCCAGTGCCCTGTTTCTTTTCTTTCTTTTTTCCCTTTCTTTAAAAAGAAAATGCATTTCTCGAAGTGCAATAACTGTCACGTCATTTCTTGCTATATTAGTAGATTGTAGAATACTTACAGAAGTTCCTACTTCTGAATTCCTAGTTTTTTTGCCTATACGAGGATTAACTTTTCGAGTACCTACTTTTGACGCGGGGGTAGGGGGAATAGGAAAAGATGGCAGAAGTTGACGGATATACCTAAGTATTGACGGATATAATAAGAAAACCCTAGAATTGACCGGAAGATATAGCTTAACTTTAGAACAGATGATACAGCTTCTTTATCTGAGACTAATTACCTGACACCAGACAAGTCCCTAGAAATCTTTGAATAAAGATTAAAAAATATATATAGTTGAGAAAATCACAATATAGACCAACACAAACACTGTTTCGTCAAATTTAAATTTTGTTTATTGATAGGAAATGAAAACAATAAAAATTGAACCAATCTAGAGACAAAATCTGACAAAAGATTACAAGCATTACAATCGGAATTTCTCTATTTTGACATTCCGTAATTTAGTATGTTTTACGTGTATGTATCCTTCATTATAATCAGAAATTTGAATTATATATTTTTCTTAAAAAATGAAATTTACGTAACCAGAACAAATAATGGAGAAAATGTGTATAGGGAAATGAATCATAATAAAAGCTTTAAGTATAGCCGGGAACGGATTTTGACAAAATATCTTATCCTTCAAGAGGATTTAGTACGCTACTTAATATATATATATATATATAATATATCATTTAAATATATATATACAACACAAAGAGTGACACTAGTCACGAATGCAATCGATAATGTTATTCATCCAAAAAGACAGTATTGAATTTGTTTTTCTTTCCGAAATATAACATCATGATACGACGGGAAACTATTCTATATGTTCATTTTTTCTTAGTACTTTAAACATGAACAACACAATGTAAGCAAATAGGCACATTTAACATCGTTTAACAAACACACACATACCTATAACATACATTTATTAAAATGATATATAGCACAATACTTGAATTACATTGGAATTAGTTTTATCATTTCTTACAGAAAAGAATACATTCTAGAACACTTTTTTTATATACTTGTTCCATATTTTCTAAGAAATGTTAGACACTTATTTATAGTTACAAATGTAAATCCTTACATAAACCTAAAGTAATATATATTACAAGACTTGATATCATTTAAATTTATTTTATCATTTCGAACAAACAGAGATGAATATTCTACAACAATAGTTATTTATACCTTTTCCATCTTTTCAACTTAATGTAATACTTTTTTTTTTCAGTCTTCATAGACAAACACAGCACAATAACACCATATAGACACATATAGCATAACATAGTTATACCAACAACAAAAAAAGGAACTACATTTTCATATCTATAACACATAAAGTCATTTATCGGTTTATTTATTTTTCATCATTATTTTTCATATTATTTTTTTATTTGATCTTAATTTTAATAAACATAAACAACACAATGTATCAAATACACACAGTTTACAGTTGTAAATACAAACACACGTACCTGCATACGTATATCTTCGAAAGTGATATATTGCACAGTACTTTGATAACATTGAACTTAGTTTCCTACAGAGATGCTAGTATTCCACAACAGTTTTATAGATACATGTTCAATATTTACAAAGACATGTTCCACACTCATTTATTTATGTTTAGATTTTTGTATATTATTTCTTTTTCGTTTCCATAGACAGAAGCAAACAAGAATAGAAACATAGAAACAAATGTACGTCCATGCATACATCTATTAAAGTTACATATAGCAGAATACTTTTACAGCATTTAAATAAGTTTCAGCATTTCAAACAGAGATGAAAATATTTTACAACATTTTATATATAAATCTGTTTCATATTTACAAAGGAATTTAGGACACATAGTATTTTTATTTTTCTTAATAATAGTTTTTTCTCCATTTTTATTCTTCATTTTCATAGACTTACACAGCACAATGCCGATATCTGCCACTTTTAAGTTAGTTAAACTAACACACACGAACCTATACATACATCTGGTAAGTGACGTCTAGCACACTACTTAGATAACATTGAAATTAGTTTTGTCATTTCTAACAGAGATGAAAATATTCTACAACAGTTTATATTTACAAAGAAATGTTAGTTATAATTTGTTGTTTTATTACTATTTCACATTTGGTTTTATTTTCACAAACATTAA